CCCACTTGGAGTTTACCAAAAGGTACCTAACTCGGAGACCATGAGAAACAAGATTCTCTGGTTTGCTGAAACCAAGAATGTACTTTTTGGCCTGAACGCCAAGCGTCACGTCTAGAGGAAACCTGGCACCATTCCTACAGTGAAGCATGGTGGTGGCAGCATCATGCTGTGGGGATGTTTTTCAGCGGCAGGGACTGGGAGACTAGCACACAGCAAAGACCATGCAGGAGTGGCTTCGGGACAAGTCTCTGAATGTCCTTGAGTGGCCCAGCCAGAACCCGGACTTGAACCCAATCTAACATCTCTGGAGAGACCTGAAAATAGCTGTGCAGCGACACTCCCCCACCAACCTGACAGAGCTTGAGAGGATCTGCAGAGAAGAATGGGAGAAACTCCCCAAATACAGGTGTGCCAAGCTTGTGGCGTCATACCCAAGAAGACTCAAGGCTGTAATCGCTGCCAAAGCTGCTTCAACAAAGTACTGAGTAAAGGGTCTGAATACTTATGTAAATGTGATATTTCTGTTTTTGAAGAAAAGGCAAAATGTCTAAACCTGTTTTTGCTTTGTCATTACGTGGTATTGTGTGTAGATTGAGGATTTTTTCCCTTCCATTTTAGAATAAGAATGTAAAGTAACAATGTGGAAAAAGTAAAAGGATCTGAATACTTTCTGAATGCACTGCATACACACATATGTATATATATATATATATATACATACAGTACTGGTCAAAAGTTTGGACACACCTACTCATTCCAGGGTTTTTCTTTATTTTTACAATTTTCTACATTGTAGAATAATAGTGAAGACATCTATGAAATCACACATATGGAATCATGTTGTAACCAAAAAAGTGTTAAACAAATCAAAATATATTTGAGATTCTTCAAAGTAGCCACCCTTCGCCTTGATGACAGCTTTGCACACTCTTGGCATTCTCTCAACCAGCTTCACCTGGAATGCTTTTCCAACAGTGTTGGAGTTCCCACATATGCTGAGCACTTGTTGGCTGCTTTACCTTCACTCTGCGGTCCGACTCATCCCAAACCATCTCAATTTGGTTGAGGTCGGGGGGTTGTGGAGGCCAGGTCATCCGATGCAGCACTTATCACTCTCGTTCTTGGTAAAATAGCCCTTACACAGCCTGTAGGTGTGTAAGGGCCCTTACACACCCTCTCCACTGAATAGCAGGCTAGTGATGGCTTTGCAACGCAGTTAGCCACTGATTCCTTCCAAACCACTAATTGTTGTAATTGCCATTTCCAACTTGTTGTGTAATGTTTATGTCCAATGGCCAATGAGCATCGATACGTTTTTATCTATAATTGATCTTCATATGACAAGGATTGAAAAGGATTTGCCAGTAGATTGTCGAATTGATTCATGATGACGACTTGTCTAGCTTGCTAGCTAAGATTTTAAAAGTATGATGTTCACATGATCAGTCAAATCAAAGCTACGGTATATACAATGAGGTTTGACGTCATTCTATCTGTGGCCAATGACCTTGAGCCTTCTTGGATGGGCACTTCTAATGTAACTCTATGGCAGCACCCAATAGGCTTGAATTGTGGTGACGTAGTGCCCCTATGAGTGACAGAACACTGAGCCAATCACGGCGCAACTAGAGAACATTACCAACCCCTACCCTCTGTATTTTCCGCCGGCTGCCCCACCACCACAGAAAGCACTGAGCTAGGCTGAAACACCTGCATTTTGGAACTGCCTTATTTAAGATGGCTAAAAAGAGACCGACTTTTTATGCGGCTCTGCCCCACCTGCCCTGAATGACGGGTCGCCACTGATGGTATGTACTTCGAAGGTATAGAATGGCACTGCAATGCATACATTTAATGTCGGAATGGAAATTATAGTAATGACACACCAGTGAATGAGTGATGTAAAGTTTTGTATTTGTACAAACGTAATGAGTAAGAAGTGTTTGTTAGCATGAAATGTTTGCATGATAGGCCTATAAGACATTGAGTAGCCTAACTAAAGTCATAGAACTGCATCATAAATGACTGGGTGACAGGCAGCATAAGGGCTGAAAGAGGCAGTACAGAAAGTACTTTTACTGGATTAAACTATGGGAAACCCACACAGTTTTCTTATGCAAGAACTACTAGCATAGTAATCAAACGTGCTTCAATATCTTTATATTGTTACCAATTTCACATTTATTCTGAATGATGATGGGAATTAAGAATCTATAGCTTACTTTTTACCAAAGCCAGCACTCTAACATCTTTCTGTAGGGGTCAGGGCTCAAAATGAAAACCTGCCTTTCAGGAGAATTCTTTGGTGAAAGAAGATGATCAATATATATTAGATGTTAAAAAGTGGTATCAGGCAACATTATTTGAGTGACAGAGAGAGTTAAACACGAGGAGCCATGTTGAGAAGGCATCCCTTACTATAGATAATAGCCCATGTCCACTGTCTACTTTACTAGGGGCCTTAGTGACTCATAGATAGTGTCTTCAAAGTGAAACACAATGTCAAACAAAAAGCTCTAGGTCATTTAATGAGGTATTAATTTTGTTATTTATCAATGCCAACAAATGATCCTGTTGGTAAACGATGTCTTAGTGCCAGCATGACCTAGTGACATACACTATATATACAAAAGTATGTGGACACCCCTTCAAATTAGTGGATTCGGCTACTTCAGCCATACCCGTTGCTGACAGGTGTATAAAATTGAGCACACAGCCATGCAATCTCCATAGACAAACATTGGCAGTAGAATGGCCTTACTGAAGAGCTCAGTGACTTTCAACGTGGCACCGTCAGTTTGACAAATTTCTGCCCTGCTAGAGCTTCCCCGGTCAACTGTAAGTGCTGTTATTGTGAAGTGGAAATGTCAAGGAGCAATAACGGCTCAGCCGCGAAGTGGTAGGCCACACAAGCTCACAGACCGCCGAGTGCTGTAGCGCGTAAAAATCGTCTGTTTTACATTTTACATTTTTAGTCATTTAGCAGACGCTCCTATCCAGAGCGACTTACAGTTAGCACATACATTATTTTATCGAACCCACAACCCTGGCGTTGCAAATGCCATGCTCTACCAACTGAGCTACATCCCCTGCCGGCCATTCCCTCCCCTACCCTGGACGACGCTGGGCCAATTGTGCGCCGCCCCATGGGTCTCCCGGTCGCGGCCGGCTACGACAGAGCCTGGATTCGAACCAGGATCTCTAGTGGCACAGCTAGCACTGCGATGCAGTGCCTTAGACCACTGCGCCACTCGGGAGACTTTTACAGGTGCATACTAGACGATGCACCCTGCATAAAGCAAGCTCAGCCCTATTTGTTATATTGTCAAATTGCAGTTGTTGTGTCTGTGTAAGGGAACCCCCCTTACACAGACACAACAAGTTGGAAAAACTCATAGCTCACTGAGTGTTTTACAATGTTATGGTTCGAAAACTGTCCAATAGAGATTTAAATGTCCTTTCACTATTTACAGGAGTTCAGCTATCCAGAATCAGAATCATGCTACAATGAGTATATGTCACTGGTCATCCCCAAAGCCAACACCTCCTTTGGCCGCCATTCCTTCCAGTTCTCTGCTGCCAATGACTGGAACGAATTGCAAAAATCACTGAAGCTGGAGACACTTATCTCCCTCACTAACTTTAAGCATCAGTTGTCAGAGCACCTTACCGATCACTGCACCTGTACACAGCCCATCTGAAATTAGCCCACCCAACTACCTCATCCCCATATTGTTATTTATTTTGCTAATTTGCACCCCAGTATCTCTATTTGCACATCATCTCTTGCACATCTATCATTCCAGTGTTAATACTAATTGCAATTATTTTGCACTATAGCCTATTTATTGCCTTACACTCCATAACTTGCTACATTTGCACACACTGTATATATATTTTCTGTTGTATTTTTGACTTTATGTTTTGTTTTACCCCATATGTAACTCTGTGTTGTTGTTTTTAAATCGCACTGCTTTGCTTTATCTTGGCGAGGTCGCAGTTGTAAATGAGAACTTGTTCTCAACTGGCTTACCTGGTTAAATAAAAAAATAAAAAAAATACAATGAGGCTGAACAAGACTTGTTCCACTGCACCAGGGTACAGAGAGGGATGACACATTCACTCGCCATATTCACTGAGTCATTCCATGTTTGCTTCATGCATTATCATCATGTAAAATAAAGTTAATTTTAAACGTGCTCGGTTTTCTTTACCTTTACATTAGTAAATGTTGCATTAAATAGACATTTTTGGTTGACTTGATGAAAGATTATTCTTATCTCTTTTGGTTTTGTTGGTCATACTTGCTGTAGTCCGATCTTTTTGGGCCAGACTATGATCCATTTTTTTATGTTTAGGGTACTTGATGTGCATGCATTGGCAAAATTAGGGTGCAGGGAGGAAACTTGCTAGAAGTGAACATGGTAGGACAGTAGGAGCCAACTAGAATGCATGGATGATTAACATCATTGCCATACTATGTAAACAGGAACTCCAAGAAGGAAAATTGATAACTTCATTGGGGTAAGGAAATGTTCAGCCTATAATTAGCTAACTAGTTAATTTATAACACAAACATACATTTGATTAGCTAGCCGATTTCGAGTTGATAACAAGCAACCTAAAGTTATTAGCTGGCTGGCTTTCTAATGGCCGAACCATGCTAGCTAACGTTAGATGCTACTTGCTAGCCACAAGATTGTAACGTTTCACAGGTTGCAGTTGTCTAATATGTTACTCCTTTTAGTGTAGAAGGGTTGTTATAACGCTTTGAAAACGTGTGTGATGATTTATGCGTCCTATGCATGATGTTAGCGCAAACGATATCCAAACTCCGAAGGTTTGTGATAGCAAGCTACTGTGTGTTTGGTTATCCCGGAAGGGCTTGCTGGGGCGGTCCTTTGTAAAACAATAGATCATGATTCGTTCAATTCGAAACGGGAATATCCAACCAGTGTAGGGTGCCGCCTTGAATTCTGAGGGCACAGACCCAATATTATCGTAGTGTCTAGCAACACATCAAAGCAGCAGCTCCAAGACGCTCAACTAGTCAAGGACGTAAAGAGGCTGGTGTTAGCAAGATTAGCTGAGCTCAACTGACAAGTAAACAAGCCATCCGAATCCGACGGTCAAAATTGATGTCATTTTAGTGAAGGTAATGTCTACGGGTATAAATACGACCAAATGTAATTTATACTTCATTACTTTGCACACCCATTCAACAGCGACAACAAAACAATGCTGAATGGCTGTCCTAGCTACAGTAGCGGGTAGTGCACCTAGAATGTTTTTTATTGTCAAATATACCAGATAGGTGTAGTGAAATGTAGTGTTTTACAGGGGCAGCCATAGTAGTACGGCGCCCCAGGAGCAAATTAGGGTGAAGTACCTTGCTCAAGCCAAGGTCACGTCGACAGTTTTCACCTTGTCACTCGTGTATTCGAACCAGGGAACTTTAATTAGGTCCAATTTGTAAGTCGCTCTGGATAAGAGCGTCTGCTAAATGACGTAAATGTTACTGGGCCACCGCTTTAGCTTTAGGCTGGCTACCTGCCGCCGGAAAAGCGATACTTGCATGCGAAATTTTACCCACTGAATATTAATTAACATGTCATTGGCAATATCTGTGCAAGGAAAGATTGATTAGTTGTCAAAGGGTAAAGTCTACTAAACTTAGTCCACTCTGTTCGTAACCGATTATAGTTTTGGAAACAGAACTGTATTGAGATCAAATGTTTCGTCGATGAGAAAGTTAGCAGAATGTCGACTAAATGACTAAAATGTAAATGTAAAATCCATCTCGCTCCATCTTCTCCCATCCCCAGGGCTTCCTCTTACCATCATATTTGGTTGTGAGTGGAAACGCCAACCGGATGCTTCACATTTATACATCCAGTAAAGTATGTCTCATTATAAACTGGGTGGGTCGAGCCCTGAATGCTGATTGGCCAATATACCACGGCTAAGGGCTGTATCCAGGCACTTAGCCCTTAGCCATGGTATATTGGCCATATACCACACCTCCTCGGGCCTTATTGCTTAATTGTTCCATCTGTGCCTACACTATAGGTAAGGGATAATCAACTCGGGGCTATGTGTTCAATGGAAAATAATGAACTACATGGAAGGTGTGTTCCACAATTGTTTTTATACCATGGCTATAATTTAACACATTTGCCGGTAGAAATGTGTTCAACATCCACTGAAGTAGCTAGCAAGTTTACTAGATAGCTACAGTAGTTGCCATGGTAACCAAACAGACTTGCTAGTTTAGCTAACCAAACCATCAGTCCTAGCTTGCCATTATGACAATCAAATTCAACAATGCCAATGATGTTATAAATTAGACTTTCTTTCAAAAGCAGCTCAAACATGTAATTGTTGAATTAGATTTTCTTAATAGCAAACTAGGACTGATCAAATCAAATCAAATCAAATTTTATTGGTCACATGCGCCGAATACAACAGGTGCAGACATTACAGTGAAATGCTTACTTACAGCCCTTAACCAACAGTGCATTTATTTTAAACAAAAAAGTAAGAATAAAACAACAACAAAAAAGTGTTGAGAAAAAAAGAGCAGAAGTAAAAAATAAAGTGACAGTAGGGAGGCTATATATACAATAGAATAAAGTGACAGTAGGGAGGCTATATATACAGGGGGGTACCGTTGCATAGTCAGTGTGCGGGGGCACCGGCTAGTTGAGGTAGTTGAGGTAATATGTACATGTGGGTAGAGTTAAAGTGACTATGCATAAATACTTAACAGAGTAGCAGCAGCGTAAAAAGGATGGGGTGGGGGGGCAGTGCAAATAGTCCGGGTAGCCATGATTAGCTGTTCAGGAGTCTTATGGCTTGGGGGTAGAAGCTGTTGAGAAGTCTTTTGGACCTAGACTTGGCACTCCGGTACCGCTTGCCGTGCGGTAGCAGAGAGAACAGTCTATGACTAGGGTGACTGGAGTCTTTGACAATTTTGAGGGCCTTCCTCTGACACCGCCTGGTATAGAGGTCCTGGATGGCAGGGAGCTTTGCCCCAGTGATGTACTGGGCCGTACGCACTACCCTCTGTAGTGCCTTGCGGTCAGAGGCCAAGCAGTTGCCATACCAGGCGGTGATGCAACCAGTCAGGATGCTCTCGATGGTGCAGCTGTAGAATTTTTTGAGGATCTGAGGACCCATGCCAAATCTTTTTAGTCTCCTGAGGGGGAATAGGCTTTGTCGTGCCCTCTTCACGACTGTCTTGGTGTGTTTGGACCATGATAGTTCGTTGGTGATGTGGACACCAAGGAACTTGAAGCTCTCAACCTGTTCCACTACAGCCCCGTCGATGAGAATGGGGGCGTGCTCAGTCCTCTTTTTTTTCCTGTAGTCCACAATCATCTCCTTTGTCTTGGTCACGTTGAGGGAGAGGTTGTTGTCCTGGCACCACACGGCCAGATCTCTGACCTCCTCCCTATAGGCTGTCTCATCGTTGTCGGTGATCAGGCCTACCACTGTTGTGTCGTCGGCAAACTTAATGATGGTGTTGGAGTCGTGCCTGGCCATGCAGTCATGGGTGAACAGAGAGTACAGGAGGGGACTGAGCACGCACCCCTGAGGGGCCCCCGTGTTGAGGATCAGTGTGGCAGATGTGTTGTTACCTACCCTTACCACCTGGGGGCGGCCCGTCAGGAAGTCCAGGATCCAGTTGCAGAGGGAGGTGTTTAGTCCCAGGATCCTTAGCTTAGTGATGAGCTTTGAGGGCACTATGGTGTTGAATGCTGAGCTGTAGTCAATGAATAGCATTCTCACGTAGGTGTTCCTCTTGTCCAGGTGGGAAAGGGCAGTGTGGAGTGCGATAGAGATTGCATCATCTGTGGATCTGTTGGGGCGGTATGCAAATTGGAGTGGGTCTAGGGTTTCTGGGATTATGCTGTTGATGTGAGCCATGACCAGTCTTTCAAAGCACTTCATGGCTACAGACGTCAGTGCCACGGGTCGGTAGTCATTTAGGCAGGTTATCTTAGAGTTCTTGGGCACGGGGACTATGGTGGTCTGCTTGAAACATGTTGGTATTACAGACTCAGTCAGGGACATGTTGAAAATGTCAGTGAAGACACTTGCCAGTTGGTCAGCACATGCTCGGAGTACACGTCCTGGTAATCCGTCTGGCCCTGCGGCCTTGTGAATGTTGACCTGCTTAAAAGTCTTACTCACATCGGCTACGGAGAGCGTGATCACATAGTCGTCCGGAACAGCTGGTGCTCTCATGCATGCTTCAGTGTTGCTTGCCTCGAAGCGAGCATAGAAGTGGTTTAGCTCGTCTGGTAGGCTTGTGTCACTGGGCAGCTCGCGGCTGTGCTTCCCTTTGTAGTCTGTAATAGTTTTCAAGCCCTGCCACATCCGACGAGCGTCAGAGCCAGTGTAGTATGATTCAATCTTAGACCTGTATTGACTCTTTGCCTGTTTGATGGTTCGTCGGAGGTCATAGCGGGATTTCTTATAAGCGTCCGGGTTAGAGTCCCGTTCCTTGAAAGCGGCAGCTCTACCCTTTAGCTCAGTGCGGATGTTTCCTGTAATCCATGGCTTCTGGTTGGGGTATGTACGTACGGTCACTGTGGGGACGACATCATCGATGCACTTATTGATGAAGCCAGTGACTGATGTGGTGTACTCCTCAATGCTGTCTGAAGAATCCCGGAACATGTTCCAGTCTGTGCTAGCAAAACAGTCCTGTAGCTTAGCATCTGCGTCATCTGACCACTTTTTTATTAGCCGAATCACTGGTGCTTCCTGCTTCAGTTTTTGCTTATAAGCAGGAATCAGGAGGATAGAGTTATGGTCAGATTTGCCAAATGGAGGGCGAGGGAGAGCTTTGTATGCGTCTCTGTGTGTGGAGTAAAGGTGGTCTAGAGTTTTTTCCCCTCTGGTTGCACATTTAACATGCTGGTAGAAATGAGGTAGAACGGATTTAAGTTTCCCTGCATTAAAGTCCCCTGCTACTAGGAGCGCTGCATCTGGATGAGCGTTTTCCTGTTGATTAATGGCCTTGTACAACTCATTCAGTGCAATCTTAATGCCAGCATTGGTTTGTGGTGGTAAATAGACAGCTATGAAAAATATAGATGAAAACTCTCTTGGTAAATAGTGTGGTCTACAGCTTATCATAAGATACTCTACCTCAGGCGAGCAAAACCTTGAGACTTCCTTAGTATTTGATTTTGTGCACCAGCTGTTGTTTACAAAAATACAGAGACCGCCACCCCTCGTCTTACCCGAGTCTGCCGTTCTGTCCTGCCGATGTAGCGTATAGCCTGCTAGCTGAATGTTGTCATTGTTGTCATTCAGCCACGACTCCGTGAAACATAAGATATTACAGTTTTTAATGTCCCGTTGGTAGGATAACCGTAATCTTAAATCGTCCATTTTATTCTCCAAAGCTTGAACGTTGGCTAATAGGATTGATGGGAGAGGCAGTTTACTCGTTCGCCGTCGGATCCTTACAAGGCACCCCGACCTACGTCCACGATATCTCCTGATGGTTCGGTTAGCTAAACTAGCAAGTGTGTTTAGGTTACCATGGCAACTACTGTAGCTATCTAGTTAATTTGCCAGCTTCTTCAGTGGATGTTGAACATCTTTCTACCGACAAATTAACACATTTCTAGGAGCAAATGTGTTTAAATTATAGCCATGGTATAAAAGTGATAATCAACAAGGGGCTATGCATTCTATGGAAAATAATGAACGACGTGGAAGGTGTGTTGGACGACGCGCTAGCGGATGTCAACTTTATTTCTCAACTCCTAATATTGAGCAAATTAAACTCACTGGAGTATCTGACATAGGCTTTTAAAAAGCACCTGCCGAGAGGCTATCAGTGCAGCAAGTGCTGCTGGTAAGCTTTCTTGACTTGGGCATGGTTTCTAGATAGGGCCACGCCTCATTCATTAAACATTAGCTTACATTTTGCATCATCCGACTCTTTCCTAAAAAATTTCTGCCAACCAAGACACACCTGTCACCAATACAGTGTCAACCTTGACAAAAATTAACCTTGAGCTTACACTGAGTATACAAAATATTATGAACCTGCGCCACTCAATATTAGGAAGGTGTTCCTAATGTTTGGTATACTCATTGTATGTCCTAATGTTACAATAATTCAGTGAAAAGCATGAGCTGACACACAAAAATGTTTGTAGAGTTGCTGATTAACAGGATAAACTGTATGAAAATAAAGTCGCACACTATATAATCGCAACAATTTAATGAGTAAACCTCAACCAACGTTTCGGCAACTAGGATTGCCGAAACGTTGGTTGAGGTTTACCCATTAAAATTGTTGAGAGCATAGATGGGATGTGCGACTTTCAATGCATCTCTTTGCAGGGAGCAGGCTTGTCCTGTGGGCTCACCAGCAGTTATGAATGTGAACGATGATGTGGAAAAGCTTTTAAATGGTGAAGGACTAGAAGTGAACGACGAGTTCGATTCAGCACCCGCACAGGTCCAAGCAGTTGCCTTGAGGAAAACGATAACCTACATCGTCAGCGCTGTCATCTTCAATGAAAAGGTAGTGAGCAATGAACTCTGTAAGGATAAGGGATTAATTCACCAAGCTAAAGAGCTAATTAAGTCAATTAGGTCACTTACTAACCTGACACATTCTATCATGCAGAAGTCCGCATGGCCTAAAAGGACATTAGACTTATGTGGCCTTTGTGTGTAAAATAAATGTACAGTTGGAATTCTGTTGATGGAACTGACATTTCCAGTTCAACATAATTCCTGCTATAGAATGTTTCAAACATGGTATAGCTAATTTCTACACTTGCAGCCAGTGTCATACACACTGTATCATGGCTCTGCTTTCAGCTACATACAGTGCCTTCAGAAAGTATTCATACCCCTTGACTTAACACATTTTGTTGTTACAGCTTGAATTCAAAATGGATTAGATTTCTCACCCATCTACACACAATACCCCAGAATGACAAAGTGAAAAGACGTTTAGAAATGTTAGCAAATTTGATTGAGAATGAAATACAGAAATGTAATTTACATACGTTTTGATTTGTGTTCACGCCCCTTTGCTATAACACTTCAAATTGAGCTCAGGTACATCCAATTTCCTTTGATCATCCTTGAGATGTCACTACAACTTTGAGTCCACCTGTGCCAATTCAATTGTTTGGACATGATTTAGAAAGACACACACCTGTCTATATAAGGTCCCACAGTGCACGTCAGAGCAGAACCTATACCATGAAGTCCAAGGAATTGTCCGTAGATCTGAGACAGGATTGTCATGAGGCATGTCTGGGGAAGGGTATAAAACAATTTCTAGAGTGTTGAAAGTTTCCAAGAGCACAGTGGTCTCCATCATTGGGAAATGGAAGAAATGTCAAACTACTCAGACTTTGTCTAGAGCTGGCCATCCAACCAAACTAAGCAAGAAGGACCTTGGCCAGGGAGGTGACCAAGAACCCAATGACCACTCTGACAGAATTACAGAGTTCTTTGGCTGAGCTGGAAAACCTGCCAGAAGGACAACTGCCCTCTACAGCACTTCACCAATCTGGCCTTTATGGGAGAGTGGCCAGACAGAAGCCACTCCTGAGAAAAAGGCACGACAGCACACCTGGAGTTTGCAAAAAGGTATGTGAAAGACCGAGCATAAGGCAAAATATTTTAATTGTACTATCTGGCCTGAACGCAAAGTGTCTTAACACCATCCCTGCCGTGAAGCATGGTGATGGCAGCATCATGCTATGGGGATGCTTTTCAGCTGCAGAGACTGGTAAGGATAGAGGGAACAATGAATGGAGCCAAATAAAGGCAAATCATGATGAGAACCTGCTTCAGAGTGCAAACGGCGATCTAGTGGCGCACTGAATAATTATAGCTAGTTGGCTAAGCTTTGATCAGCATGGATATCCGAAAATGACTGGGCACTGCCAAGAGCAAAAACTGAAGACCACCATGTCGAGACCGATGACGAGCAGCCTGCTAGCCCGATACCGAGGTTGAGGAGCCTAGCAGCAAATGAAATACCCGCCCATCCCCCACTGACCAACAAGATCGAGGAGAGCCATGGCCTAGCACCAGCAGCATGAGGGTAACATCACAACAAACACCTGCACCTCCGTTAACCCAGCCACTAGCACCTGACGACGTCTGTGATGAGGAGCCAGCACAGGTTTGTCTTGACACTTACCCTTGCCGCATTTTCAGTGGGAGAAAGCGGGGCAGATGCAGCCTTCTGTTATCTTTTCGGAGGGAATTTGGATTCGATTGACTCAATGGGAGAAGGAAGCAGTAGACAAGTAGACAACAGTAGACAATTCCATGTAATGCCATACACATCCCATGACATTCAGAATGAAATCAGAGCTCTTGTGAGTAAGATTGTCACAGAGGCAATTATGAAGGAAATTGGTGAATCGTGGTATACACTGAAAGTAGATGGAACAAAGACCCAACTGGATGAAATAACATTTCTATTGTTATTCGATCTGCAGATGAAAACAAGTGTGCGAGAGCGGTTGCTGCCAATGGCAACAAGCAAACAATATGATGCTTTATCACTTACTAACCTTGTTATCTCCGAGCTAACAAATGTTGGCCTCAGCACTGAAAATATTCTAAGTCAATGCTACGATTGGGCTAGTGTGATGTGCGGGAAACACGGGGGTGTGCAGAAAATATTGCAAGAAATTGAATCATATGTGCATTCCTTTAATCACCAACTGCATTTGGTTCGGGTGCACGCTATATCTGAGGCTGTGGTGGCAGAATGACTTTTTCAATGTGTGGAGCTCCCTGTACAATTTCTTTGGGAAACCCACGGTGGCTGCACAGTACAATGGGGAAGAACGTAAGACTACTTGATCAGAGATGCACTGGCCACCTCACCACTGTGTCAGTCATTTTGAAATCAAGTGATCAGAGATGCTCTGTAAAATCGAGTCTACTCGCGCATATGGCACAGATGTGAGACTTGAGGCCAAGGCTTATTGTAAGCAGTGACAGAGCCAAACTTCATGTTTATTGCTAACATGACTCAATCCTGAATGCAGTAACTTTTTAGAAGCTACTGATCTGTACACCGGTGTCAAACTTGTCCGCAGTACGTATGGGTGCGTTGAAGAACGCTGGTGTGATGAACTCAAAGCTTTGGGAGGCATGCCTGTAGGCACGAGCACACCAGCTCCAAATAAACAGCAACTTTTTTCAGCACTTTGGAGGCCTGGGGGAAATGTCATCACGATTTAGTGAAGGAAATAGTCAACTGGTGGAAGATCTGTGCCATGGATCCCGAGACTTTTTGGATGTGAACAGGGTCAAGCCATTGTTGGATCTAACTAAAACTGAACCAGTGGAAGCAGAGTTTGTGGCTTGCACATTCTTGCAAAGTGAAATCGCAACCACTGCCAGCAACAGGACCCCACTAAGTGTTCTACATAGATACAGCGCGCCTTTGTCAGCAATGCCGACTGTGGTGTTGGTACTGAAGCATGGATTAACATTTCTGGCATCTACAGCAATGTACGAAAATTCCTTCTCCTCTGTGAAGAATGTATTAGGTGAACAGACACAGCATGTTACATCAACGAAAAACCTAGCTTGTCCAACTGGCATTTAAGAGGGACTTAACAAGTACATTTTGCCAGGAAGGACAATGGAATCAAACTTCTCATGGGGTTTAATTCATCATCGAGGAGGCTGCAACTCTTCTAAATGGTAAGCTACAACCTTTATGGCCTTGGCCTGCCGTTTCCGTCATGTAAGCCTGGTTGTTTGGCAGATTATTTAATGTAATGTATAGTTACTTTAGGACTTTGCTTTTTACTTCAATGCATGTTAGATTTGTGATTCTTAAAGTCATTGCTTGCTTTTGCGGGTCTAATTGCCGTTGATAGATATACAGCTTTCCGTTATTTTATGGGTATAGGAATGTAGCCTGTTGGTTGTGCTCTGAGGTGAGCCCTGGCGTGGTGCTCCTGTTGCCCTGGCTGTCCACTTAGGTGGTGCTGAAATTGGCAGCGCATCCTTTCATCGCACTGACTGGCAACCTTCTGTCCATGGTCCTGAATCAATGGTTACGGTGGGTGCTGTTTTAATGAGCGCATCTTGGGCTACCAGTCTTCGTGGGGCTTCTCTTCAACATCGCATGCTTTCTTGTGTGCAACATGGCAGTTGTGTATATGGCTGTATTTCAGATAGGCCTATATTTTTGTATGTGGCAGTAGTATAGGACCAATAGCGTGTTTACGCAATTCAGTGGACCCGTTCTTTGAGCTTTTGTGGCCTACCACGCTGTGGCTGAGCCGTTGTTGCTCCTTGACGTTTCCACTTCACAATAACATCACTTACAGTTGACCGGGGCAGCTCTAGCAGGGCAGAAATTTGATTAACTGACTTGTTGAAAAAGTGCAATCCTATGACTGTGCCACATTGAAAGTCACTGAGCTCTTCAGTAAGGCCATTCTACTGCCAATGTTTGTCTATGGAGATTGCATGGCTGTGTGCTCGATTTTATACACCTGTCAGCAACGGGTGTGGCTGAAATAGCGGAATCCACTAATTTGAAGGGGTGTCCACATACGTACGTGTGTGTGTGTATATATAGATCTCATTATTATATAAAATGGTTGTGTATGGTTACATTTCAGATACATTTGAGCAGCAGTAGGACCAATCTACCTTGTTTTATTAGGGCTCCCCATGGATTTAAAATGCCCCCTCAGGCATGTCATCCTGGAGCTGGGTCTGCAAGGGGTATGAATAGTTTCTGAAGGTACTGTACTTTTTAATCACGTGACTGCCCTTGAGTGGAAAACAAAACAGCAACAAAAAAAAAGTACATCCCATTACACTTTTCACCAAAGTGCATCCTATTGTACTTTTTTAAAGTGTGTGTGTGTCACCTGTATTTGCAGAATGAGGTGCTCATGGTGCAGGAGGCCAAGGAGAATTGCTACAAACAGTGGTACCTTCCAGCTGGCCGTATGGAAGAGGGCGAGAGCATTGTGGAGGCCATGAGGAGGGAAGTGAAGGAAGAGGCTGGATTCGACTGCAAACCTGTTACCCTGGTCCTGGTCCAAGAACAGGGGCCACAGTGGATCAGATTTGTTTTCCTGGCGGAGATTACAGGTAAAACTGTTTTCATCCACGTATATCAGCTTTTCATACAAACGACAGGCTTATTGAGTCGTGCTCAGCTTCATATTCTTCAAGAATTAGTATGTGGACAGAAGTATGTGGACACCTTCAAGATTAGTGGATTCGGCTATTTCAGCCACACCCGTTGCAGGTGTATAAAATCGAGTACACCGCCATGCAATCTCCATAGACAAACATTGGTAGTAGAATGCCCGTACTGAAGAGCTCAGTGACTTTCGACGTGGCACCGTCATAGGCTGCCACCTTTCCAACAAGTCAGTTCGTCACATTTTTGCCCTGCTACAGCGGACCCGTCAACTGTAAATGCTGTTATTGTGAAGTGGAAACGTCTAAGAGCAACAATGGCTCAGCCGCGAAGTGATAGGCCACACAAGCTCACGGAACGGGACCGCCGAGTGCTGAAGCGCGTAAAAATTGTATGTCCTCGGTTGCAACACTCACTACAGAGTTCCAAACTGCCTCTGAAAGCGTCAGCATAATAACTGTTCGTCGGGAGCTTCATGAAATGGGTTTCCATGGCCGAGCAGCCGCACACAAGCTTAAGATCACCATGCGCAATGCCAAGCGTTGGTTGGAATGGCGTAAAGATTGCCGCCATTGGACTCTGGAGCAGTAGAAACGCGTTCTCTGGAGTGATGAATCACGCTTCTCCATCTGGCAGTCCGACTGACAAATCTGGGTTTGGCAGATGCCAGGAGAACGCTACCTGCCCCAATGCATAGTGCCAACTGTACATTTTGGGAGGAGGAGGAATAATGGTCTGGGGCTGTTCTTCATGGTTCGGTCTAGGTCCCTTAGTTCCAGTGAAGGGAAATCTTAACGCTCCACCTTACAATGACATTCTAGACGATTCTGTGCTTCCAACTTTGTGGCAACAGTTTGGGGAAGGCCCTTTCCTGTTTCAGCATGACAATGCCCCTGTGCACAAAGCGAGGTCCATACAGAAATGGTTTGTCGAGATTGGTGTGGAAGAACTTGACTGGCCTGCACAGAGCCCTGAGCTCAACCCCATCGAACACCTTTGGGATGAATTGGAACGCCGACTGCGAGCCAGGCCTAATCGCCCAATATCAGTGTCCGACCTCACTAATGCGTGTGACTGAATGGAAGCAATTCCCCACAGCAATGTTCCAACATCTAGTGGAAAGCCTTCCCAGAACAGTGGAGGCTATTTTTGAAGCAAAGGGGGGACCAACTCCGTATTAATGGCCATGATTTTGGAACGAGATGTTCGACGAGCAGGTGTACACATACTTTTGCCCATGTAGTGTATAATTAATAACATAAGAAGCTGTGTTGGAATTTAACAATAAAAAATTAAGGCAGTTGGGGGGAGTGTGTTATGTTTTGGACTTCTTGCATTCCTCAGGAGTCAGCAGCGTTGATAAGGTACTTTTTTCACTGCTGTTCCCGCATATTTTCCTTCCTTAGGAGGCTCCCTGAAGACGACGGCAGAGGCTGATGCAGAGTCTCTCCAGGCTCAGTGGTGGAACCAAGACTCCCCACTCACCTTGAGGGGTCGTGACATCCTCAGACTCATCAGTGCCGCCCTGAAATACAGAGAGAAGCCCTGGCATCCTGTGGCTCACCCTATAGACATGTGCTGCCATGTTGTTGTACAGAGACTTCTCCTCACCTTCAGCAGCCCTGATGGGGTGCTTTGGCTCCTTTTGAACAACACGAAGGACCTGCACCTCCCCGTGGCCGTGTCTGTGAAAACCCACACAGTCACATGGGCGGCCAACACACTGGTACAAGAGGCCATGCCCTCCTCCTACTATGACCTCAACGTCAACACAAGGGGAATCCTGGGACTCCAGCACAATGGAAGGATCCCTGGGAAGACAGACGGACTCTGCTTCAACACAGTGGTGTCTCTGGAGCACACTGGGGAGGGGCCACACACCAGTCAACCACCACTGATCGAGAGCCCTCGATTTCAGTGGTACAAAGTGGAGAATCCTCAGCTAAGAGACAAGATTCAACAGAGAATAACTACTGGGTCCCTCCTTCCAGTGCATAGTCTCTACTAAGGAGGGGGTGAAATGACATTCCAAAAACAATTCCCTTTTTACTTGAAGATGATTTTGGGAATGTATTAGGAATGTGTGGGGCAGGTACCCCCGTCTATGAGCGGCCAGAAGACACATATGTACCTTTGAGAGCAGATATTACTGCAGGTGATATTACGTTTTTCATTTGTACATAATTTGTCATTTAGCAAACGCTCTTATCCAGAGCAACTGACAATAAGTGTGTACATTTTCAGACCTCATACTGGTCCCCCGTTGGAATCGAACCCACAACCCTGGCGTTGCAAGCGCCATGCTCTACCAACAGCCACACAGGAAATACATTTGTGAAATGGACTGCAATACAGAATAGGATCTGCAACCTTTTGATGAAATGCTCAATCAAGTCTATTATTCAAACTACATTCAGCTACCAATCAGGATCTAGCTTCATGATATGATCCATTTTAGATAAGCCAAATTAGATCTGTATTGCATGAAATCTGTAATACCCATGGTGGAAAAATATAACTACTGTTATGAAAGCATGACATTACAGGTAGATTCAGCAATATGACGTTATGGCAAGCAGCAGGGTGGCTTTTGACAGATTACGAAGCAAAAATAATCCATTCAGCATTCACATTGTAGGAGAGGGATGCAAACTTCAATGCAGATACTCTCAGCATTATATTTGGTTGCACTGCTGCTTATGGTCATGTTGCTGAGTCTGTTTAAAATCCAGAAAACCTACTCTTGGTAAGCTAAATACTTTGAGGCTCATCTCAAATCAAATCTCAATTGTTAAGTTGCATGCTCATACTTTACAAATGATTGTACAGAGACTGATGTAAACAAGATGTTTAAAAAAATGTATTAAGACCGATGGGTATAGTGACCCTGGTCCACATAAGACATTGCCTCAACGCAGAAATAAAATGTCTCAAATGTGAGAAAAGGCAAATGCAGGATAGTGTTTTTCGTCATGAATCTTGTTCTGGAAGCAACTCTGCAGTGGTCACTAGCCGGCACAGCCACAAATCTGATTTTAAACCTAACCATAACCACACAGCTAACCTTCATGCCTAACCTTAAATTAAGACCAAAAAGCAACTGTTTGTTTTAATACATTTTGACAATATAGCCAATTTTGACTTTGTACCCGGCCCATCTAGTGGAAATCGCGCAGTTCTGTCTCCAGGACAAGACTCACCCCGCCATGCAAACAGTATAAAGTATCAATAGTTAAGCTGGATAATGCACAGTTTTAGGTTGTGTTCCAATCAGTTTTTTTTACCCAGTCTCACTATGGAACGCCATTTGGGTCTTTGTGTGTCAAAAAAGATACGCGTCAAATACGTTTGTTGACCAATCACGACCTGAATGACTGCACGTCACATAACAATTTAACACGTTCATTCATTTTTTACGTAGTTATTACACATTGATTACACTATCACTCGTAGTTCATATGTCACAACGACTCGTGCTGGTAAAGTTGTCTCGCGCACCTGCCCTTCCCCAAGCTCTGGACATAAAATAAGCTAGCTAGCTGATGAATGCAAACAATGTTCTTCCCCAAGAATATAGCAAAATGACAATCTGTTTCTGTAGCTACAGTTAACTATCTAGCTAGGTGTCATCTAAAATACCCCTAATTTATAAAACGGTTATTATTTGATTAATGGTGGTCGGACCCACCTATGTGAAGCTAGCCACAATAAGGATTAGCCACAATAGTGGAATTTGCAGTTAGCCTTCAAAATAAAAGAATGTCATTGACAGTGATGCAAATGAATACAAATAGTGGAATTATGCCATGGGACTTGCTAAACGAGTTTGGATTGTTGTTCTATAAACTCAACAAAAGAAAGTGTTAATTTCACAAATCTGTTAATCACACTGGATGTATTAGCCTTTAGAATTGCATTGGGGGGCATACTTATTTCACTGTGCAGCCTTACCTATGGATTGTGGGTCAATGACATGGGGTATCAGTCTACTCCGTGACACCCAGAGAACGTTAGCGTCTTAGCTCTTACTGCGGGACTCTGAAACCACTGTGAATTGAGCCACATGTATTGTACCAGTCAACCTACTATGTGTATTGAACACTTTTCCAGAGAAAAAAAACAATAGAACGTGGATGGTTTGGAGTCTGATAACTGAGGAGGATGTTGGAGCACTTGGGTACTGAGTAGACTGATACCCCATTTAATTGATCTCCAATCCTTAGGTAAGGCTGTACAGTGCAATATGAATGTCAATACGCACAATAGGCTGACTGGGGAGGTGATTTCACACAGTCACAGTCCCGCGATAAGAGCTACAACGCTAATATTTACGTAAACTCTTCACAGTTGTATTCTGTGGGTGTCACCGAGTAGACTGATACCCCATTTCATTGTTCCACATTCCAACCTTGTTTAACATTATCTTATCTAAATATTGCATGATTCCACCAATTGTATTACCAATTACTGCAGTTTCTATTGGTCATTGTTTTCAACCTAGTTGCATTGGTGCTAGAGCTAGGTAACGTTACTAACGTCCAAACGTTACTAAGCTAAAGCTAGCTAGCTACCCCAGAAGTTGCTAATAACATCTGAATCAAAAGATACCTGCAAACATGTTTGATCCTGATATTATTTCAAATGCTCACACAGACATTTTCCCCATTCGGTCAAACAAATAATGCCCGATGACCAACGCGGTAATGTAAACACATCGTTCGTGGCCGGTGCGTGCTTGTACTGATCGTAGAGGTGGCGCATGGCTTGCACGTGCAAATTCAGCACACACAACATTCTATAATATAAATTGTATTATCTGACGCGTCAAAGTGTTATTTTGATGTGTATCTTTTTTGACACGCATATACCAAAACGGCGTTCCATATCTCACAGCCCAGATGATCAGGGCACTATGTCTCAAGAGTAAAAGTGCTGATCCAGGATCAGTTTTGCCTTTTAGATCATAATGAACAAGGAGGACCGGATCCTACATAAGCACTATGAATACCGGCTTAAACCTCAAATTCTGAGATGTTTTAATATCTCAGAAACCAGGGATAGCCTCCAGGACAGCCTATAGCAGGGGTGTCAAACGTCCGGGCCGGAACAGGCCTGCAAACGGGTTTAATCCGGCCCGCGAGATGATTTTGTAAAGTATAAAAATGCGCTGCAAATTTTTATAACCTGCTGTTCCAATTGTGTCCACTGGATGGCGCAATAGCAATTGTGTTAAGCAAGCAAACTGTTTATACCGGGGCAGAGCAAGTAGGTCAAGCACATGCAGCCAGTCCGGATGAGCTACTGTTTTGCCTGCGATATTTATTACGGCTTCTACTTTTAACATTATGTGCTTTGGCACCCTCATTGCCCCAATATGTCTCTGTCAAAAAAGAGAAGTGGATGCAGAGTGCAGAGTGTTCCAAGAAAAATGGTCATCCTCCTATTTATTCACAGAATTGAATGGGAAAGCTGTATGTTTGGTGTGTTCACAGCATGTTGCAGTGCTGAAAGAATATAACCTTCGTCGCCACTATGTGAGTCTTCATGCCGACATATGACAACTTTCAAGGACAGCGGAGAAGAGAGAAGGTGAATGAACTGTTGGCGGGTCTGAAGAAACCGCAGTCTGTGTTTACTCACAGCCGAGACATCAGTGACGCTGCAGTGAAAGCTAGCTACCTCATTGCTAATGAAATCGCAGTGGCTTCAAAACCATTTAGTGAGGGTGAATTTGTAAAAACATGCATGATGAAGGCAGCGGAGATTGTGTGCCCTGAAAAGCGTCAGCCTGACAAGAAACACAGTTGCAGACAGGATTTCCGATCTTTCAGTGGATTTGGACAGCCAGTTGAAGCAAAAAGTAAAGTCATTTATTGCGTTTTCGGTTGCAATTGATGAAAGCACGGACATTAGATGTTGCACAACTGGCCATTTTCATCCGCGGAGTTGATGACACATTGACCGTCACCGAGGAGTTTGTGGAGTTGGTGCCGATGACAGATACGACAGCAGCTGATATTTTTACCGCACTCGTCGGCGCGCTGGACAGGGTCGGAGTGGACTGGTCCCGCGATGTCAGCCTGGCTACAGATGGTGCGCCCTCAATGATCGGGAAAAAAATTTGATTTACGAGAAGAAATTGAACAGTTCATGGAAGAAAAGGGCAAACCAGTGTTAGAATTTCATTCCGCAGAATGGATGCAGGACCTTGCATTTATGGTGGATGTTACAGAGCACCTGAATAACTTGAACAAACAGCTGCAAGGGCGCAACAAAGTTGTCACGCAGTATCATGACAGCATACGTTCTTTCAAGTTGAAGCTGTCATTGTGGGAGACGCAACTCGCCGGTGGTGATGCAGCTCACTTCCCCTGTCTGAAAAATGTGTGCGCGACCCAACATGTGGCAGACATGAAGCGGTTCAAAGATAAAATAACGGGACTGTTACGGGAGTTTGAGCAACGCTTTCAGATTTTTGGTGTACTGGAAAAGACTTCAACGTTTTTTGCTCGCCATTCACCGTGAATCCCTCTGATCTGCCCGTCAGCATCCAACTTGAAACAGACTTGCAGTGTGACTCGGATTTGAAGGGCAAATTTGCCGCAGCTGGCTTGGACACATTTTATCAGAATCTCTTGCCAGGTTACCCCAACTTGACAGCCCTCGCTGCAAAACTGTTGTGCATGTTTGGAACCACATATCTTTGTGAGCAAGTTCTCTGTAATGAGCATAAATAAAACAAAGCTGCGCTCAAGGCTCACGCACAAGCACTTGAATCACATCCTGAAGTTGGCTGCCACTCAGGATGTGACGCCTGATATTGATGCGCTGGTGAAAGCTAAAAGATGCCAGGTATCAGGAGTCAAAAACTATGCAACCCCACTTAAAGTGCTGCATGAGACACCCTGATATAGTTATGTGATCTGTGATATACTTCTGTGAATCACTGAGGCATTGTGTGTTTGTGTGTTCTTTGTCCTCAGAACTTTCAAATAACTTGAGGTGTTTTATGATTAATAGTGATGATGTGCTTGTACTATTTTGGACACACTGTCCTCAGGCTCCAGCTTTATGTTTTTATGTTGATGTGCTATTGTTTTTAATTGATTTTATTTTATTTGTATATTTAACCTATTCTTGACTCTGTGGTTCTTGCACTTGTTTGGGGAACAGGATTTCATTATTTGTATCTACATTTCTGCCTGAGAAATGACAGCCTGATTATAGTTCTGTGATCTGTGAAACAGTTCTGTTAATCACTGAGACAGTGTTTGTGTGTTCTTTAGAATTTTCAAATAAACTTGAGGTGTTTTATGATTAATAGTGATGTTGTGCTTGTACTATTTTGGACACACTGTCCTCAGGCTCCAGCTTTATGTTTTATGTTGATCGTATTAAAACAAAGAAAACAATCTGAAGTTGTTGTTTTTAAGTTATATATACACACCATGATTTTTCCGGTCCGGCCCACTTGGGAATAGATTTTCCTCCATGTGGCCCCTGAGTTAAAATGAGTTTGACACCCCTGGCCTATAGCAACTGTTACAAAGACAAGATGGAACGCAACCTTTTACATAGATTTTTGACCGACTGCATACATTATTTCCAGGTGTAATAATAATTTGCTTAAGATATTAAATAGTTTGCATAGTCATTACGTAACATAAGATTAAACCCAACAAAATAAGCTAAACATTTCAGCATTTACAATAAACTTAAAAATGGAGATGACTGTGCAATGACTCATACACTTTTTCTATTCTCGCAAGTACCAATGCTTTATCTTTATCAATCTCATTGTCCTTGTACCTCCTGTCATCTATGGCCTAGTTTACTTGTGCAACCAACGCAAGTAAGCAGCTGTTTGACTGGTGTCGTCCATCTTCTGTTCCGTTCAAGGATTCACAAGGTGTTAGTGTTCTACAAGTTTGTGTTGTTGTCGGGAAGTTTGACAAAGGCAATGGCCGCCAGCTCCTTACAGAACTCCTCTAGGATGATCACTCCCTTAAGCAGGGGCATGTGATCCACTCTGGGGAGGCAAGATCCACACAAAACAATTGTAATTTCCTCAGTCTGCTTCTCAGAGGGTGGTTCCTCTAATTAAGATGACCACATGTATTGTATTACTACCATTGGTGTAGTGGAGGGCCATTTACAAATTTTTTATATTGCACAAGTGTTTACACACATATTGCATTGAAAATATAGAGAACTTTATTCAGCGCGCATGGTGATCAGGCGTTTACCCACCTATCTTTTTACCACTACATCACTGACCATTACGTTCAGGATGCACACACTTAACAGTTACCACATAATTAATTCAAACTAATATATACAGTGCATTCGGAAAGTATTCAGACCTTCACTTTTTCCACATTTTGTTACGTTACAGCTTTATTCTAAAATTGAGGATTTTTGTTTTATTTTATCAATCTACACAAAATAACCCATAATGACAAAGCGAAAACAGGTTTAGACATGTTTGTAAATATTTGTTTCTTCTTCACTGAAATAACTTAATTACATAAGTATTCAGACCCTTTGCTATGAGACTCGAAATTGAGCTCAGGTGCATCCTGTTTCCATTGATCATCCTTGATATGTTTCTACAACTTGATTGGAGTCCACCTGTGGTAAATTCAATTGATTGGACATGATTTGGAAAGGCACACACCTGTCTATATAAGGTCCCACAGTTGACAGTGCATGTCAGAGCAAAAACCAAGCCATGAGGTTGAAGGAATTCGAGATAGGATTGTGTCGAGGCACAAATCTGGGGAAGGGTACCAAAACATTTCTTCAGCATTGAAGGTCCCCAGGAAAACAGTGGCCTCCATCATTCTTAAATGGAAGAAGTTTGGAACCACCAAGACTCTTCCTCGAGCTGGCCGCCCGGCCAAACTGAGCAATCGGGGGAGAAGGGCCTTGGTCAGGGAGGTGATCAAGAACCCAATGGTCACTCTGACAGAGCTCCAGAATTCCTCTGTGGAGATGGGAGAACCTTCCAGAAGGACAACCATCTCTGCAGCACTCCACCAAATCAGGCCTTTATGGTAGAGTGGCCAGATGGAAGCCACTCCTCAGTAAAAAGGCACATGACAGCCGGCTTAGCGTTAGCCAAAAGGCACCTAAAGGACTCTCAGACCATTAGAAACAAGATTCTCTGGTTTGATGTAACCAAGATTGAACTATTTGGCCTGAATGCCAAGCGTCACGTCGAAGAAACCAGGCACCGCTCATCACCTGGCCAATACCATCCCTACGGTGAACCATCGTGGTGGCAGCATCATGCTGTGGGGATGTTTTTCAGCTGCAGGGAGATTAGTCAGGATCGAGGGAATGATGAACAGAGCAAAGTACAGAGAGATCCTTAATCATAACCTGCTCCAGACTGCTCAGGACCTCAGACTGGGGCGAAGGTTCACCTTCCAACAGGACAACAACCCTAAGCATACAGCAAAGACAACGCAGGAGTGGCTTCGGGACAAGTCTCTGAATGTCCTTGAGTGGCCCAGCCAGAGCCCGGACTTGAACCCGATCGAACATCTCTGGAGAGACCTGAAAATAGCTATGCAGCGATGCTCCCCATCCAACCTGACAGAGCTTGAGAGGATCTGCAGAGAAGAATGGGAGGAACTCCCCAAATACAGGTATGCCAAGCTTGTAGCGTCATACCCAAGAAGACTCAAGGCTGTAATCGCTGCTTCAACAAAGTACTGAGTAAAGGGTCTGAATACTTACGTAAATGTGATATATATATTTTTAAATAAATTTGCTGAAATTTCTAAAAACCAGTTTTTGCTTTGTCATTATGGGGTGTAGATTGAGGGGAAACATTTAATTTAATCAATTTTAGAATAAAGCTGTAACAAAATGTGGCAAAAGTCAAGGGGTCTGAATACTTTCTGAATGCACTGTATGTTTCTCTACGGCACTTACCCAGACTCCCCATCCAGGCCCATCAGCTGCCTTCGGACATGCACAAGCTTCTCTTTGAAGTTTGGGATCAGCTGGATCCTCTGCATCAGTTCTCCTATCACCTGTCAAACCAGGAGAAACACAATTAGGAATGCATTTGTGAAAACAATCCACTGTGGAATGTGGGAGTTGTAGCTGGGTACAGTATTTGTAGTGTTCAAACGGAAACGAATCAGGAACATGGCTGGAAGTCTAAAACCTTAAATAAAGATGAGGAAGGAGGTGAGTGTAGAGGTCACCCACCCTGATGAGCACAGAGAACAGGGAGCGGGCTCCAGGGGCCAGGATGATGTAGGGGTCCAGCAGGTACTCATGGAGGTGGGGGTGAGGGAACAGGGCCAGCCTGGACAACACCGATGTCACCTGGAGGTTCAGCTCATAGGGCTAAGAGAGAGACACTTCACAAGTGAGGGGATGTTTATGTTTAACATTTTGGGATTGTATTAACAGTGGACTAATGAACAAAATACTAAAATATATCCCTTTAAGGCTACCTGCTCAAGGATCCGGCCTATTCTATCAAACAGGACTTTGAGGAAGTGGCCTTCGAAGAAGTCAGAACTGGATACAGACGACTCGGTTGGTTTGAGGGACTCCGGCCAATCCCAATCGAGCAACAGTGTAGTGCACTCTTTAAACTAGATGTTAAAAATAAAAATGCAAATGTAATGCATCAGATCTAAGACCTCAATTTATGCACTGTTATGTTACTCTTGGCAATGACTTTCACTGCTTTAAGTTCTCCGCTCACCTGCTCATGAGCGTCATGGACATACGTTTCATATCGGGCACCTTGGACATGTTGAGAGGTTTTTGCTTCTTGAGGGACCAAACACAGAAAACTGCTAAACAAAACAACAGTGTAAAGTTTAAAAACCGTAAAGCGAGTTTTAGATGCTGCTAAAATATAAAAAGTAGTTCCTTCATGAGATGTCTGATCAAATTTCTCTTCTATGGCTTGAATGATGGGATGCATGTTGTGCCTAGACTCAAGAGTTAACCATCAGTAATAAAGTTAACTGCATAGAGATAAATGTATTAGTGTTCTATTTCGTTCTGTGGTTAACGGCACCTGTTTACAATGTCCGCTGCTTGAGTTTGTCCACTGCAGCGAGGTTCTCTCATGAGCTGGGGTCGAGGCAGAAGCTGCTCTGAGCTGTTGAATTCATCCTCGCCGTACATGTCTGTGAAGAAAGGGTCCTCCTCTAGTTCTCTGTTCAGGTGGAACACAAACATATATAATGTAGAAGCCATTCCTGAATGGTATTGCTGACTGTATACTCCATTTGGTCGGTCACAAACTAGTCATAGTCATGATTAACTAAGCAATTCACCCCTGTGTGTCAGGCGTTCGCAACAACCTTGATTTTTATTAGCCCCTACAGAGCTGTCCATTGGAGCTCTACCTCTGGATGAGTTAACTCACTCGTTCTCCTCCACGGGATCGGTGTCGGTGAAATGCCTGCTGTCATCCCCTCCCCCCAGAGCGTGTGTCACGTAGCAGCGGTTCTCCAGGTTCCTCAGGACCAGGTTGAAGAGAATGTCCCTGTGGGGCTTCTGTAGGAGCTCCTCAAACAGGAGCAGAGTAGCGATACTGATCTAGCAGGCAGAGAGAAAGTACAGCACGTCACCAGCTGTAACCAGCTGTAACCAGCACTAACGCTGGTACTTCCTTAGTCTTCTTTTGGCTTACAACACTAAGGGAATACAAATAGCTTAACTATAGTCATGGTAGCAACATGAGAGATGTGAACTCCAGTTGTGTCTCGTCTTCGCTCGTGTTCAGTCTTTACTGAGGGCTACAGTAGCAGCACCTTACCTCATCGGAGATGTGGTCACAGTGCTCGATAAGTTGATATCGCAGCACATGACTCTCTGTGTCCAAGCGCTGCTCGCTCTGTGTGTGTCTGCCCAGGAGGAACGAGACCAGCTCTTCCAACATGGCAGGGGATTGGATGTGACGCACCGAGCAGCACAGCAGCGCCGTGTTCACCAGCACGCCCATCTCGGACCTAAAACACAAACCACTGGTCAATAATAGTCCATATGTCCTAGGTGCAGTGCATTTGGAAAGTATTCAGATCCCTTGACTTTTTCCACATTTTGTTACGTTACAGGTGTGCTAAGCTTGTAGCGTCGTACCCAAGAAGACTCGAGGCTGTAATCGCTGCCAAAGGTGCTTTAAAGGGTCTGAATAGTTATGTAAATGTTTTTTTTATTTTTTTTATATACATTTGGGGGGGGGGGGGGGGGGGGGGGATTTAAAAACCAGTTTTTGCTTTATCATGATGGGGTATTGTGTGTAGATTGAGGGGGGGGGGGGGGAAACAATGTAATCCATTTTAGAATAAGGCTGTAACATAATGTGGAAAAAGTCAAGGGGTCTGAATACTTTCCAAATGCACTATATATGTATAAAACCCCATTGGAGAAAATGTAGGTGGGGGTCACTTACATTTGGAGCAGCTCAGGCTGCAGAACACCGACAAGCCAGCAATGGTGAATTTCTTTGGCCAATTTCACAGCGAGGATCTACAAAAACAGCAAATATACTGCACTAGAGATCCTCTCTTGGTGGAAACTCAATTCATGGTCAAGCTTGGTCAAGTATTTCTGCTTTTTTACCTTTGGTGCCTCTCTCATCAGATGGTCAAGGAAGTCCAGCCAAGCGAAAAACCTCTCCATGTGCTCACTACCAGGAAACGACTGGCTTTCCTGCATACTGTTCTGAGAGAATGGAGCACTGCACAAAACATCAGGTCCATTACCAAATCAAAACTTGATGGTAACTGTAAAAGTAAGGTTGTGGGGCTTGCTTTAGCTCTAAGTATTTTTGTGGTAATGGAAGATGTTTAAAAAAAGTGTTACTTTACTATTTAAAGCAAAGCAGTTACATACAGTCAAAGTTACATTTTGTAAAATAATAATTGGTCTGATTACTTTGATAGACTACTATATCAACCATATTACTTTGGATTTTGGGGAAGTTAGATCACAAACATTTCTAAACTACAGTTGTTGCATGTGAAAACTGAAAGAAGAAAGACAGGACAAAGTGATCTGTCAGAAGATGGGAATAAAAGACAGGATCATGTGGACAACACTTAGGAAAACAAAGCAACTCTGAATCATTCATGCTGTGGGTTTCAGATGCACAATTTACTTTTGTAAATTAAATTTACAGTGTAAATTAAGTTTGATTTTAGTTGAATGATGATTTCATTAGTAGAACGTTTTAGGCTATTATTTGGTGAGAGAAATATGATGGTGCATCTACTGATGACAGCTCTTTAAAAGTATTTTTGTGGTAGTTGAAGAACTATGTAGAATAGGTTTGTATGTAGACCTACTGATAGCTAGCTGTAGTTCTATCTAATAAATAAACTCTTTAGGCTAACAGTGATCACTGAAAACGTACATTTCCTGAAGAAAATGTGGTGTGCTTGCTAGCTTGTTTTGAGTATGTATGGTTTTGAAATAACTAGTAATAGTAATGTTGGTGACTGGTTATAGTTGAAAAAGTAGGTAGATGAAAATACTGATTTATTGGTAGGATAGCTTGAACATGTGAAAGTCGGTTTGGTGTCTAGCTTGGACGTTTCAAGAGTTACAATTATTGTTGGAGGGTATTATATGCTAATTCATGCAAATGTAATGTGTGTTATAGATCTGTCATTCTCATTGAAAGAAAGTCTTAGAAGAGGTAGATCTGTTCTATATGGGCCATTTCCATGCTTTCTGTTCTTAAGTTTCGTTTTTGAGTCTTTCACTTCCGGTTTTGTACAACAGCTTCAAACTATGGAACGCCATTTGGGTCTTAGCGTGTCAAAAAAAGATACACGTCAAATAACGCTGTTTGACACATCAATTAAGCTTGTTGACCAATCAGCACCTGAATATGACTGCACGTCACATAATAATTTAACACGTTTATTAATTTTGTACATAGTTATTACACAGATTACACTCTCACTCGTATTTCATATGTCACAGCGATTCACCAATTCGTATGCTATGATGCTGGTAAAGTTGTCTTGAGCGCAGACGCACTTCAAAGCTCTGGGACAGTGCTGGTCATAAAAAAAGCTAGCTAGCTGATGGGATGCAAACAATGTTCTTCCCCCAAAACGACAATCTGTTTCAGTAGCTATAGTTAGCTAGCTTTAGCGTGGTACCCACCAATGCAAGCAGCCTGTAAACAATGACCATTACAAACTGCAGTCATTTTCAATATTCTTAGCAATGATTTAGGAATCCATGTGAGTAATGTGGGAAATTATTCTCTTATATTTTAGATGTGCTGTTAGCTTAATAAGAAAGCATTAATGATTAAACATAATAGGTTTGTACTGTACTGATATAGATTGTTTAATATAACAAGCTGTGATTAATGTGGGGAACAGTTAGGGGGTAGGCTGAGACAGACTTGTGATTCACACAGACACACACTCACTGCCTCTTTGTTAAACCGCTCAAGGACATGTGTTCTGCTACAAAGATGTCTGAGGTTGCTGACTCGAGACAAGTTGTGGAGATAACAACTAATGCCTGGCAACAGTGAAGCGCCAAGGGGCTGGGACCAGCCTGTGCGCCAACGATAGGCTGAGTAAGTCTAAACCACGCTCAGTCTCTACTCTGATAGGCCTGCTTGGAGCAGGAACTATCTCTGTCAGAGTATTTAAAGAAGAACTTATAACAATGGCTCAGTTCTCTGTCTGCCCTGCGTGGTATTTCAGTGGACCCGTATTTACGAACATCATATTTACCATTGAAGCGTTTTGCATTAATTAAAATACTAGTTTATTTTAGAAGACGTTTATTGACCTCTTTTTGTTCCTATACCAGATTTGAATTGACGCAACTTATCAGTAAGTATTAGCTAGGTAGCCACTTGTTATTCTCCTATGGAAATTTCACTTCAGTTAATGAAAGTACCTAGCTAGCCAGCTATTTAACCCTGTTGCCCAAAGCTAACGTTATAAACTGCCAGCTAGCTTCAGTGAGGCTTGACCGGACCGGGTTATGTGTTGTGAAGTTAGTCACAATAAGGATGAGCCACAATAGTGGAATGTGCGGTTTGCCTTCAAAATAAAAGTCTCCATTTGAAAGTGCTGCAATTGGTTACTATTGGTGAAATCATGCCATATTTAGACTACATAATGTTAAACAAGGTTGGAATGTGGAGCAATGAAATGGGGTATCAGTCTACTCAGTGACACCCACAGAACACAATTGTGAAGAGTTTTCACAAATATTAGCGTTGTAGCTCTTATTGCAGGACTTTGGCTTAGGGAAATCACCTCCCCAGTCAGCCTACTGTGTGTATTGACATTCATATTGCACTGTACAGCCTTACCTAAGGATTTGGGATCAATGAAACGGGGTATCAGTCTACTCAGTACCAAAGTGCTTTTTTCCCCAAAGTCCTCCTCAGAGTTATCAGACTCCAAACCATCCACATTGTATTGTTTTTCCTCTGGAATAGTGTTCAATACACATAGTAGGTTGACTGGTACAATAAATGTGGCTAATTTCACAGTGGTTTCAGAGTCCCGCAATAAGAGCTACGACGCTAACGTTCTCTGGGTGTCACGGAGTAGACTGATACCCCATGTCATTGACCCACAATCCATAGGCAAGGCTGTATAGTGAAATAAGTATAATAATAATAATAATAATAATATACCATTTAGCAGACGCTTTTATCCAAAGCGACTTAAAGTCATGTGTGCATACATTTTTATGTATGGGTGGTCCCGGGGATCCAACCCACTACCCTGGCGTTACAAGCCCCATGCTCTACCAATTGAGCTACAGAGGATTCCAATGCAATTCTAAAGTCTAATACATCCACAGTCTGATTGAAACAGATTAATCAAATTAACAAATTGTCTTTTGTTGGATTTATATAACATTCCAACCTCATATAGCATGATCTATTCAATTATGGCACTATTTGTATTCATTTGGATCACTTTCAATGAGATACTTTTATTTTGAAGGCGAACCGCAAATTGTGGCTTATCCTTATTGTGTCTAGCTTCACATAGGTGGGTCTGACCATCATTAATCAAATAAGAACTGTTTTATAAAATTAGGGGTATTTTAGATGACACCTAGCTAGCTAGATAGTTAGTTAACTATAGCTACTGACACATATTGTCGTTTTGCTATGTTTTGGGGGAAGAACATTGTTTGCATCCATCAGCTAGCTAGCTTTTTTTATGACCAGCACTGTCCCAGAGCTTTGAAGTGTGTCTGCGCTCAAGACAACTTTACCAGCATCATAGCATACGTATTGGTGAATCACTGTGACATATGAAATATGAGTGAGTGTAATCTATGTGTAATAACTACGTAAAAAATTAATGAACGTGTTAAATTATGTGACGTGCAGTCATATTCAGGTGCTGATTGGTCAACAAGCTTAATTGACGTGTATCTTTTTTGACACGCTAAGACCCAAATGGCGTTCCATAGGTTGCGGCCACAACTAGACCTCGTTTCAAATGTACCAAGAAATAATCTTATTTGTATGCCAAATGTACATTGTTTAAAGCACACTTTTACAAGTGTCACAAATGACAGCGCCAATAAGCCCCTTGTGGTGAATGGCGTGAACGAGAGGCTTGTAGAATCATGACTATATTGAGTTTTCAGTACATCGTTCACCGGTAAGGGCTCCTGCATGCTCTGGGCCACTAAGCTCACCTCCAGTGGGTCTGGGGGAAACTGTGGATGTCTGCAGCTTCCAGCGTAGCCGGGAGCTGGCTGTAGAGCTCACACAACCGCTCAGCCAGTAGCTGACACAGTGGGGTGCTTTCAGCCAAGCACACTGCAGTATCTTCCTTTGGTAGGCTGACGAGGAGCAGCAAGCTCTCAAAGGCTTTCAGTGCAACTTTGTTCTGAACAAGGAAACAAAGAAAAACGTGGCAAATTATTGATAACTTGATGTTCATTTCAAATGCATGAATTATGTATTGGTTTGTCAAGTAGTCCTGGCTGAACACACCTGGCTTCTGCTCAAGTGGACCAAGACATGGATGAGGCCTGCATTGGCTGGGAAAATAGTGGAGGGAGAGTCAGTGGGTGAGTGCTGTTGAGGACTTGAGGTGGAGGCAGGGTTTGAGGCTGTGGGGTTACTGGAAGGCACAGCCTCTTCACTTCTCCCTTTTTCTGTATCCTCAGAGGAAGAAATAGACCTCTTGAAGAGATTTTCCTTTTTAATCTGCATGACAGGTAAAACAGTAAAAAGAAAAAAACATCAATCATACGTTGACATGACTTACTTCGGATGATGCACTGAAATCAACTACATAGTCAACTACGGTCAAACTAATGACGTGCTAATAAAGTACGACTACCACTAGTTTTAATTTTAAAACTACTACCATTAGTACTACTATTCAGTATGCCCATTGCCTACACGTTTAGTGCTTGAAAATGCACGACCAAATCAAAAGGTTGAATTTTAAAGTACCTCTAAAATGTAGTTGAGAACATACGGATCTTGTTTCACCCTGGAGCAAACGACAAACAGAAACTGAGCCTCCTCTTTCTCAGTCTGCGATCCCAGAAGACCACACAGACGAACCAGCTTCTGTTGAGAGCAATGTCAGGAATTTTGGGAGGACAAATTTACTGTTAAGGAAAGCACATTTTAAATATCACTTTATCTTGGTAAAGAGACCACGATAGATAATAGTATTTCACTTTTTTGGTAAAATATTGACATTAATGTATGCATGCACATACATACAAGTGACAGTTAGGCCTACTGAGGGACAAATACAGTGCATTCGGAAAAATATACTTTCCCCACATTTTGTTACGTTACAGCCTTATTCTAAAATTGATTAATTTGTTTTTCTCTCATGAATCTACACACAATACCCCATAATGACAAAGCAAAAATAGGTTTTTAGAATAAAAATTATAATATATAAAGCACCTTTGGCAGCGATTACAGCCTTGAGTCTTCTACAAGCTTGGCACACCTGTATTTGGGGAGTTTCTCCCATTCTTCTCTGCAGATCCTCTCAAGCTCTGTCAGGTTGGATGGGGAGCGTCGCTGCACAGCTATTTTCAGGTCTCTCCAGAGATGTTCAAGTCCGGGCTCTGGCTGGGCCACTCAAGGACATTCAGAGACTTGTCCCGAAGCCACTCCTGCGTTGGCTTGGCTGTGTGCTTAGGGTCATTGTCCTGTTGGAAGGTGAACCTTCACCCCAGTCTGAGGTCCTGAGCGCTCTGGAGCAGGTTTTCATCAAGGATCTCTCTGTACTTTGCTCCGTTCATCTTTCCCTCGATCCTGACTAGTCTCCCAGTCCCTGCCGCAGAAAAAAATCCCCACAGCATGATGCTGTCACCACCATGCTTCACCGTAGGGATGGTGCCAGCTTTCCTCCAGATGTGACGCTTTGCATTCAGGGCAAAGAGTTCAATCTTGGTTTCATTAGACCAGAGAATCTTGTTTCTCATGGTCTGAGAGTCCTTTAGGTGCCTTTTGGCAAACTCCAAGCAGGCTGTCATGTGCCTTTTACTGAGGAGTGGCTTCTGTCTGGCCACTCTACCATAAAGACCTGATTGGCGGAGTGCTGCAGAGATGGTTGTCCTTCTGGAAGGTTCTCCCATCTCCACAGAGGAACTCTGGAGGTCTGTCAGAGTGACCATCGGGTTCTTGGTCACCTCCCTGACCAAGGCCCTTCTCCCACAATTGCTTAGTTTGGCCAAGGGGCCAGCTCTAGGAAGAGTCTTGGCGCTTCAAAACGTATTCAATTTAACAAGGATGGAGGCCACTGTGTTTTTGGGGACCTTCAATGCTGCATACATTTTTTGGTACCCTTCCCCAGATCTGTGCCTTGACACAATTCTGTCTCGGAGCTCTATGGACAATTCCTTCAACATCATGACTTGGTTTTTGCTCTGACATGCACTGTCAACTGTGGGACCTTATATAGACAGGTGTGTGCCTTTCCAAATCATGTCAAATCAATTGAATTTAACACAGGTAGACTCCAATCAAGTTGTAGAAACATCTCAAGGATGATAAATGGAAACAGGATGCACCTGAGCTCAATTTTGAGTCTCTTAGCAAAGGGTCTGAATAATTATGTAAATAAGGTAGCCGTTTTTATTTATACATTTGCAAACACTTCTAAAAACCTGTTTTCGCTTTGTCATTATGGAGTATTGTGTGTAGATTGAAGGGGGGAAATTATTTAATCAATTTTAGAATAAGGCTGTAATGTAACAAAATATGGAAAAAGTCAAGGGGTCTGAATACTTTCCGAATGCACTGTATATCAAATTTCAAACAGCCATAGACAACAACAAAGTGATGAACAATAACCAGAATGAATGACTCCTTACCTGCACTGGCCTATACACATTGATCATGTGAAGCATTGGCTTTTGGATTTGTACCAGGATTTTGGAGAAGAACACCAGGACCTGCTGGTTCATTCCTGGGGGGTACTGGCAGGAGGAAGAGATCAGTGTCGAAGAGAGGGTTATCAAAACGTACCACACATGACAACATCTCTCCTGCTGTGTGAGTGTGGTACCTGTGCTTTGCCTAGGGTGCAGAGGGTCTCCAGCAGTTTGTGCTGTAGGAGGTACTCCATACAAGGGCCCGTCTCCTCCAGCCCCTGTTGGCCCTCTTCGTAAACTAAGATATCCAGCATTTGCTTCAATCGCCATGGGATGTCTGTCTGCTTTACAGGCCTCGTTTCATCTGGAAAACCATCACAGTTGAACGCACTCTCAACATAGGCCAATATGAACACATGCCGAATATGACAGCAGTATTAAAATGTCCTACTGCCGACAAGTTAGTTCGCAATGTAACTCAGGCCAAGGTCACTTGGAGGCACATCCGGGGTATTCAACAGATTCTTAATTTCAACATTTCAGCAGTGTCTCAATCTTACCAGTAGTTTCAATGTAATAATTGGTTATCCCTTTCCAGTGCTCCACAAAAGAGTCCAATAAATTTACTGATGGCTCCCTCTAGAAAATGGAAGAATGGAAACACGAGATGATTCAGCTCAAAGAATGTGGGCCTAAACAATGATGTCCTATCCAGCATAAAACATGTGCCATTAATCAGAGTTGAGTTTCCTCCTATCTTGTATCAGCTTATCACTCTCCCCATCCCCCAAGAAAGTTGCCCAATGATGGAATGTGGTTTCATATGCCTGTGGGCTTCCACTTGAGTAAATATGGAGTCAGGTCAGACTACTCCATAGAGAATGTTAGAGGCCTCTAGTGGCCAAAAGGCTATATTAGCATTACCAACGCCATTGAGGGCTTCTACCATTTTAATGTAGTTAACTGTGTGGTACTTCCAACTTCATTGGCTGATCTCTCCTGGTGACCCTGTTGGAGTCATGTCTTACCGGGTCATCAGGAGGGATCAGCCAATCGTGAAGAAGAAAATTGCCTACTTCAAAATGGAGATGGCCTCAATGGCGCTGCCAATGCTTTCACAGACGCTATTATGTCACAGATACAAAGATGAGTCCTCTATCTCTCTCTATGGGCTAGCTGGACATCTTTATCAACAAACATTTCAGACGCCATGGTATATGTTGTAGCTAGGTAGGAAGCTAACGTTAGATAATTGTCAGAATAATTAACAAATCCACATAAAACTTTATAATAACATTGGCATTATTCAATAAGCATATTACACCAAATAAATTAATCTAAATAGGTTGTCACCATCTTGCTAGCTAGTTTTGACTACTTGGCTAGCTAGGTAACGCGTTGGGTTAGGTTGCAACTTGTTGCAGGATTGCTCTTTTTCCGACTTTTCGTACAGATGACAGACACATTTTTGGCACATCATTCAACTCATGTAAGGCCTACAAATAGTCAACTTTTAACCGCTAGCTAACTTTTTTAGCCGTTGGCTAACTTTATATGGGCCAAAGTCAGCAGTAAAGTTAGCTAGCTGCTAGCCAATTAGCTTGCATCAAACAGTATCTACCTAGCTAGCTAAATCCAGGAAGTAGAGTACAAAAAGGGCTTGTCAACAACCATTACTTACTGTCTCCAACGCCTGTTGAAAGAGATTTGTCAGTTTACTGAACATTTCCATTATTTTCGTCGAACTAATAAAAAGTTTTACAAAATATGGTCAACATTTTTCCGTTTGCAAACAGCTTGCTAGCTCCAAATACGATATAGCCACAGATAGAACAACTAGTCAGATGTTTCACCGGATGTATAAATCTGAAGCATCCGGTTGGCGTTTCCACTCACCACCAAATAAGGTGATGAGAGGAAGCCCAGTGGCGGCCAGTGGGAGAAGATGGAGCGAGATGGATTTTGGCCGATATTCTGCTCATTTTATCTCCGATGAAACATTTGATATCAATACAGTTCTCTTCCCAAAACTAAAATCTGTAACGAACAGAATGGACAAAGTTTTGTAGACTTTACCCTTTGCCAAAGTTTAAACACTTATGCATTCTTTAGAAGGAGTGCAAGGGCGAATGGAGTTATTGCACAAGGACACTTCAGAGTAGGCGTTCCCTAACGGAAATATGCAAATACATTCTAGAACACGCCAACAGGATCTCGCTCTCGTGCTTGGCTCTGCCCACCTCCTTGCTTGTTCTGCCCACTATAATTAATTTGCTCCTATTGGAAACGACAGGCTGTAGTTGGGTTAGTTATAAAACATCTTTGATGGAGCTGACCTGACCGAGATTCCCTAATAACACTCCACTTAGATACAGCTACGACTTTTTCAAGCAGGATAGGAGAATTAGGTTAAGGTTAGGAAAATGTTTAGGGTCACTTGTATCGAAATGGCGTGTGTTTAGGAAGTCCTGACCCATGTTGTTGTTGTTCTTGCCAGCATCAGAAGATGATTTCCAGACTTTCCAGACAATCCACACTTTCTTTTACCTGGGCTTTTTAATGTCCAACACATTGTTAAGCAGAATCATAATGTACAGTGTTGACAGTTTTTTTTTTTTTCATGACCAGTTTACTAGATGAAGTCATCTGATAGTCAACTAACAAGCAACTACACTTCCACAATGTATATCTATCCAAAACATTTCCCCTCAGAAATACTTTATTGAACAAATACAGATGTGTTTTAATTACTATTTTATTACCACAGTTATCAGTTTACAGCAAATAGTAGGCCAACCTAACATTTAATACACAAAGACTCTCTTAAAAAAAACATGGCAACATTACAATAGATGTCACTGTATCACAACATATTTCAGAAATGTAAAACATCTCAGTGATACTAAGCAAAAATGTCATGGTAAAAACACTTTATAAAAGATATAATCTACAACTATGTTTAAATTATACCACAGAACTGTATACGGTGAACATTACTTCAATTCATATCCATATACACTACCGTTCAAAAGTTTGGGGTCACTTAGAAATGTCCTTGTTTTTGAAAGAACAGCATTTTTTTTGTCCATTAAAATAACATAAAATTGATCAGAAATACAGTGTAGACATTGTTAATGTTGTAAATGGCTATTGTAGCTGGAAATTTGTTGTTATTTTAATGGACAAAAAAAATGATTTTCTTTCGAAAACAAGGACATTTCTAAGTGACCCCAAACGTTTGAACGGTAGTGTATATGTATTTTTCATGACTTCAACATTGTGTATTTATTGTAACTCAATTGGTGATAAACAGTGTAAAGTCAAGTCTGATGAATAGGAATACATACATAGACAAATTAGACAATACATACTGTGCTTTAAGAAATGAAAGACAGAAAAAAATGATGAAAGTGTTACACCTGAGAGACAACCCTGAATTCCTGAGTCAGGCTTTACAAGGTTTTCAACTGAATTACCCTCACAGGAATCTCTTATTAAATGCCTCTGTTTTAATGGAGAAACAAGCCTGTTTATCTAAGGCCCATCCCAAATTGCACCCTATTCCCTATATAGTGCACTACTTTTCAATAGGGAAAGGGGTGCCATTTCGGAAGTATAGTGTATTGTATTATCATCAGGACGGATGACATTTCTGATGACAAAGATGTTTGATAGAAAATGTATACAAGATAATTGTTACCGAAACGACCAGTATAGTATTAAGTAGAGGCCTTTGTCTCCCACTCCTACAAAAATAATAAGAAAAAAAGAACACATGGTACATTTAATTGAACAATTATACTTACTTGACATATTCCTTTGACTTAAACTACCGTTCAAAAGTTCAGGCCAGTTTTATTGTTTCTTTAATCAGCACAACAGTTTTCAGCTGTGCTAACATAATTGCAAAAGGGTTTTCTAATGATCAATTAGCCTTTTAAAATGATCAACTTGGATTAGCAAACACAACGTGCCATTGGAACACAGGACTGATGGTTGCTGATAATGGGCCTCTGTACGCCTATGTAGATATTCCATTATACACTACCCCAAACTTCTGAACGGTAGTGTATATTCCTTAATTTAATTGTCTTGATATGATTAGAAGATTATCGGACCATTTAGGTCAAAACGTACCTTCTTTCTCTGAAACACCTTGCCATGCTCAATAAATAGGGCGGAGGGGGCTCTTTTCAATGAGTTTTTAGCGGAGGCGGTCCTTCGCAGTAGCGGAGTGAAGAACCCACCCTGTGGAGACAAGGCCAATAAAATGAGCACAGACTTTAGAGAAGACCCATGCTGACAGGAGCATGGGGTCAACTTCACCACAATATCAAAGTGACCCAGCCAAGAGGATATAAAACACATACTCCAATGCAATGACGTAGTGGTCAGAAGAGTAGTAGCAGTAGATTCCTTTTTCTTCTGCCTGGAGCGTACCAAGTTTTGATATGCAGATTGGTATTGTTAAGTTGGATTTGTTTACAATATGTCAAACAACTTTGGTCGGCCCAAGAACCCTTTCAAGCTCTGCAGGAAGAGGATTTATTTGAGGCTAATGATAGCAAGGGCCATATGTTTGATCTGGTCCTCTGGTCATTGTATCTAAAGAGGGGGATAGACTATTTATGTGCACTGTAGGCTAATTGCTTCTCAACACACAGGCATCTGTACAAACATGAGCGGGAAAGGCATTTTACACAGACATTCTGTTAGACAAGAATGGAATAAAGGGATAAAATGTGTCCAACCTACAACTGGAGAGAAGATGAAACATTTCCTTGTTGACGTTTTCCCCATGATTTATTAACGAGTCACCTTAATAATTCAACCAATTCTATTTGGACACCATGTCACACTATGAAGCCTTTTGTATTTTCAGTTTAACACACTAGTGTTGTGTTGAGCATTCCGAACAGCAAGTGGCAGCATTGTGCCACAAAGCTTCTCAAAGAAGGAGTGCTGATCTAAGATCAGTTTTTCATTTTAGATCATAATGAATAAGATTATATGGACATGTGGGACCAGATCCTAGATCAGCACTTCTACTCTAAGACACTTTATGAATATGGGCCCTGGATATTTTCAGGGATAAGACCTCTATGGATAGCATAACAGGGTTATGGGTGGCAGTGTAGAGTTGCCTTACCTGTGCCCGTTCTGTACAGAAGGCCAGAGACTGTCTGAAGGAAGTACATTTGGCTTTCTTCCCTGCAGTGATGAGGTTCATCTCTGACCCAGCTCTCAGCTGTACCCTTCTCTTCCCGGTCAAGTCCAGTTTCTGAACCCCCCGCTCCACCTCACACGATTTCCTACCTGTTACAGAGCATTCACTGTCACAAATCTGCAGTAAATACCTACGTTAAAGACTATACATTTTATTTGACTAACACTGAATGAAAAAAGTTATATTGTTATAGCAATAGCACCAAATTGAAATTTAAAGATGGAACTCAACATTGTTCCAAAGACTCAAATGATGGAAGTTTTGTTGAGTGGAAAACATGATATCTTGTGTTTTTAAGAGGCCCTTACAAGGACATTCTGCCGCGAGGCTAGATCCTGCTGCCATGACCAAACCACCAAAAACGACGGCTTAGCATCAGCACTCTCCAACCTCCCGAGCACATGGGAGCATTTCCCTCCACAACTCCAAGAAGGAATCCAAGATCACTTCTTAATAGTGAGTAAGAGCTGGAGTAACTGTGGCCTTACATTCCCTCCTGGCCTGCACACTCTTTTCAGCAGTGTTCACATGTTCCATATCTTCAGCAGCCTTGTCCCAGATCTGTTTGTGCTACCATGTCAACTCCTTGTCACTCATTGTCATGTTTGGCCTGAAAGCACAAACAGATCTGGGAACAGGCTATATCTTCAGGCCTCAGAGGTTCAATAACCCATAGCTTGGGGGCATTATATGAAGTAGACCCAGACATTTTCTACTTGATCCAAACTGCTCAAACTTAACAAAAACAGGGGGGGTAGACCAGAGTAACCGTGTTCCCACCAGTATAATTATAAAGCACTATACGTTTGTGTCTGTGTAGTGTTTTACATTGATGCAACAGCACTCAACTGCAACACAATAAAACTATGGGATGCGGACGGAAAATTCTGTTCAGAGAATCTGTTATAACATATAATTATGTAGACACTTTTCTAATTCAAGCCAGATGTAGTGGAATTGTTTCACTTAAATGTCAAAAACTTTAATGCAGGAGAATGATAATAATATCCCAAACTAAGTTACATATTCTTCCCTAATCATATGTTTTGCACAGATTGGGGGAATAAACTCCATACAAACATCTTTCATTTTCTATTTGGCTCCCGGTCTGAATAACAGACGGAGTGGCAAAGAGATTGGACAGAAATTGGTTTACATATTGACGTGAAATCTAGGCAAACCCTCATGTCTCCTTGCATTAGGAATGTGTATGTTACTAGCTAGTAGCCGGCTACCACCAGGTACTCTACCCTGCACCTTAGAGACTGCTGCCCTATGTACAGTCGTGGTCAAATGTTTTGAGAATGACACAAATATTAATTTTCACAAAGTCTGCTGCCTCAGTTTTTATGATGGCAATTTGCATATACTCCAGAATGTTATGAAGAGTGATCAGATTAATTGCAATTAATTGCAAAGTCCCTCTTTGCCATGAAAATGAACTTAATCCCAAAACAACATTTCAACATACATTCATCCGGTGTATATACAGTTGAAGTCAGAAGTTTACATACACCTTAGCCAAATACATTTAAACTCAGTTTTTCACAATTCCTGATATTTAATCCTAGTAACAATTCCCTGTTTTAGGTCAGTTAGGATCACCACTTTATTTAAAGAATGTGAAATGTCAGAATAATAGTAGAGAGAATGATTTATTTCAGCTTTTATTTCTTTCATCACATTCCCAGTGGGTCAGAAGTTTACATACACTCAATTAGTATTTGGTAGCATTGCCTTTAAATTGTTTAACTTCGGTCAAACGTTTCGGGTAGCCTTCCTCAAGCTTCCCACAATAATTTGGGTGAATTTTGGCTCATTCCTCCTGACAGAGCTGGTGTAACTGAGTCAGGTTTGTAGGCCTCCTTGCTCGCACACGCTTTTTCAGTTCCGCCCACACATTTTCTATAGGATTGAGGTCAGGGCTTTGTGATGGCCACTCCAATACCTTGACTTTGTTGTCCTTAAGCCATTTGGCCACAACTTTGGAAGTATGCTTGGGGTCATTGTCCATTTGGAAGACCCATTTGCGACCAAGCTTTAACTTCCTGACTGATGTCTTGAGATGTTGCTTCAATATATTCACATACTTTTCCTTCCTCATAATGCCATCTATTTTGTGAAGTGCACCAGTCCCTCCTGCAGCAAAGCACCCCAACAGCATTGTCACGATCGTCTGAGGAAGCGGACCAATACGCAGCGCGTGGAGTGAACATGATGACTTTATTTAAACAAGCACGTCAATACAAAACAAAAGACGAAAGTGAAGTCCTACAGTGACTATGACTGAACCTGGAACAAAAACCCACAATTCCCACAAGAAAACATACAGAATAAATATGGCTCCCAATCAGAGATAACGAGCCGACAGCTGACACTCGTTACCTCCGATTGGGAGTCAATGACCAAAGCTAGAAATACACACAACAGAACTACCAACATAGAAATACACCCAAATGCCCAACATAACCAAACCAAAACCCAACAACACAAAATACACCCTGGCTCAAATACAAAAGTCCCGGAGCCAGAGTGTCACAGTACCCCCCCCTAAAGGTGCGCACTCCGGGCGCACCAGCATACAGTCTAGGGGAGGGTCTGGGTGGGCGTCTGTCCACGGTGGCGGTTCTGGCCCTGGTCGTGGTCCCCACCCCACCTTAGTCACCACCCGCTTCCCTAGCCTCCTCCACATGACCACCCTCCAACTTACCCCACCTGGATTTAGGGGCAGAACCGGGCTAAGGGACAGCACCTGGCTAAGGGGCAGCACCGGACTAAGAGGCAGCACCAGGATAAGGGGCAGCACCGGGCTACGGGACAGCACCTGGCTAAGGGGCAGCACCGGACTCAATGGTGGATCCTGGCTGGCTGGCTCTGGCGGATCCTGGCTGGACGGCTCTGGCGGATCCTGGCTGGACGGCTCATGGCTGGCTGAAAGATCTGGCTGCTCATGGCTGGCTGACGGATCTGGCTGCTCATGGCTGGCTGACGGATCTGGCTGCTCATGGCTGGCTGACGGATCTGGCTGCTCATGGCTGGCTGACGGATCTGGCTGCTCATGGCTGGCTGACGGATCTGGCTGCTCATGGCTGGCTGACGGATCTGGCTGCTCATGGCTGGCTGACGGATCTGGCTGCTCATGGCTGGCCGACGGATCTGGCTGCTCATGGCTGGCTGACGGATCTGGCTGCTCATGGCTGGCTGACGGATCTGGCTGCTCATGGCTGGCGGAAGGCTCTGGCTGATCCTGTCTGGCGGAAGGCTCTGGCTGATCCTGTCTGGCGGAAGGCTCTGGCTGATCCTGTCTGGCGGAAGGCTCTAGCGGCTCCGGTCTGGCGGACAGCTCTGACGGCTCATGGCAGACGGGCGGCTTTGCAGGCTCAGTCCAGACGGCCAGTTCAAACGCCTTAGGGCAGACGGGCAGTTCAGGCCCCGTTGGGCAGACGGCAGACTCTGGCCGTCTGAGGCGCACCGTAGGCCTGATGCGTGGTGCCGGAACTGGAGGTACCGGGCTGAGGACACGCATCTCAGGGCTAGTGCGGGGAGAAGCAACAGGGTATGCTGGACCCTGGGGACGCACATAAGGGCTAGTGCGGAGAGCCGGAACAGGGCATACTGGACCCTGGGGACTCTCATAACGCCTAGTGCGGAGAGCAGCAACAGGACGCACAGGACTCGGGGGACACACAGGAGACTTGGTGCGTGGTGTAGGCACTGGTGGGAAAAGGCTGGAGACACGCACCATACAGCTAGTGCGTGGAGGAGACACAGGGCTCTGCAGACTTACAGGAAGCCTAGTGCGAAGAGCAGGAACTGGTGGTACTGGGCTGGAGCGGGGAGGTGGCGCCGGACATACCGGACCGTGCAGGCTTACTGGCCCCCTTGAGCACTGAGCCTGCCCAACCTTACCCGGGTTGATGCTCCCCGTCGCCCGACCAGTACGGGGAGGTGGAATAACCCGCACCGGCCTATGAGGGCGAACCGGGAACACCATGCGTAAGGCTGGTGCCATGTACGCCGGCCCGAGAAGACGCACTGGTGGCCTGATGCGTTGGGCCGGCTTCATGACATCCGGCTCAATGCTCAATCTAGCCCGGCCGATACGTGGAGCTGGAATGTGTCGAACCGGGCTATGCCTGCGTACAGGAGACACCATGCGCTCTACTGCGTAACACGGTGTCTGCCCGTACTCTCGCTCTCCACGGTAAGTCCAGGGAGTAGGCGCAGGTCTCCTACCTGACTTCGCCACACTCCCTTTTAGCCCCCCCCCCAAGAAATTTTTGGGTAGTACCCACGGGCTTCCAGCCTTGACTCCGTGCTGCCTCCTCATACCGCCTCCTCTCGGCTTTAGCTGCCTCCAGCTCTTCACGAGGGCGGCGATACTCTCCCGGTTGTGCCCAAGGACCCTTTCCATCCAGTATCTCCTCCCAAGTCCATGAATCCTTGATAGGCGTCCATAAATCCTGTTGCCGCTTGACACGCTGCTTGGTCCTTTTCTGGTGGGTTTTTCTGTCACGATCGTCTGAGGAAGCGGACCAATACGCAGCGCATGGAGTGAACATGATGACTTTATTTAAACAAGCACGTCAATACAAAACAAAAGACGAAAGTGAAGTCCTACAGTGACTATGACTGAACCTGGAACAAAAACCCACAATTCCCACAAGAAAACATACAGAATAAATATGGCTCCCAATCAGAGATAACGAGCCGACAGCTGACACTCGTTACCTCCGATTGGGAGTCAATGACCAAAGCTAGAAATACACACAACAGAACTACCAACATAGAAATACACCCAAATGCCCAACATAACCAAACCAAAACCCAACAACACAAAATACACCCTGGCTCAAATACAAAAGTCCCGGAGCCAGAGTGTCACAAGCATGATGCTTTCACCCCCGTACTTCACGGTTGGCATGGTGTTCTTCGGCTTGCAAGTCCCCCCTTTTCCTCCAAACATAACGATGGTCATTATGGCCAAACAGTTCTATTTTTGTTTCATCAGACCAGAGGACATTTCTCCAAAAAGTACGATATTTGTCCCCATGTGCAGTTGCAAACCGTAGTCTGGCTTTTTTTATGGCGGTTTTGGAGCAGTGGCTTCTTCCTTGCTGAACGGCCTTTCAGGTTATGTCGATATAGGACTCGTTTTACTGTGGATATAGATACTTTTGTACCTGTTTCGTCCAGCATCTTCACAAGGTCCTTTGTTGTTGTTCTGGGATTGATTTGCACTTTTCGCACCAAAGTACGTTCATCTCTAGGAGACAGAACGCGTCTCCTTCCTGAGCGGTATGACGGCTTCGTAGTCCCATGGTGTTTATACTTGCATACTATTGTTTGTACAGTTGAACGTGGTACCTTCAGGCATTTGGAAATTCCTCCCAAGGATGAACCAGACTTGTGGAGGTCTACAATAATTTTTCTGAGGTCTTGGCTGATTTCTTCTGATTTTCCCATGATGTCAAGCAAAGAGGCACTGAGTTTGAAGGTAGGCCTTGAAATACATCCACAGGTACACCTCCAATTGACTCAAATTATGTCAATTAGCATATCAGAAGGTTCTAAAGCCATGACATAATTTTCTTGAATTTTCCAAGCTGTTTAAAGGCACAGTCAACTTAGTGTATGTAAACTTCTGACCCACTGGAATTGTGATATAGAACATTATAAGTGAAATAATCTGTCTGTAAACAATTGTTGGAAAAATTACTCGTGTCATGCACAAAGTAGATGTCCTAACCGACTTGCCAAAACTATAGTTTGTTAACAAGAAATTTGTGGAGTGGTTGAAAAACGAGTTTTAATGACTAAGTGTATGTAAACTTCCGACTTAAACTGTACGTATAGATTGCATTTGGATTATTGTTACAGTGCCATTTGGGTTGTTAATTGGATTAATTCTGACATTTCTTGATTTCTTCTTGTGTTTTTAAAAATGTGTGTACTTTTACTACATTGTTAGGAGCTAAGCATTTCGCTGCACCCGCTATAACATCTGCTAAACTGTGTACGCGACCAAACTTTTATTTGATTGACTATAGTCTAGTGCAGGGATGGGAAACTGGCGGCCCGGCCCCCTTTTGAAGGACCTCAGTCGGGGTCTCAATTTACTGTTGTAAGTTAGAATAGTAGAATACACAAGGTGCAATTTCGAAATTTGGTTGTGCATCAGCAGTTTCTCTTGTTATGTCAGCCACTTAGCCCATGTCAGCAACATTTTTTTAGATTGCTAAATTAGTTTAGTGGCCAGCTACTGCGGCCCCTCATGATGAGTTCAGATTTTTTGTGGCCCCCACCCCCATCAAAGTTGCCCATCCCTGGTCTAGTGCCTGCTCAATTGGAGGATATGTGCAAATGGCCAATGGTATGTCTGTGGTCTCCTAGAGAGGAACACCTGAAGGGGTGAACATTGAATCCGACTTACTGTGGTTGTTAAAGATTTCAGTGTTGCTGTAGTTGACTGAATCCTTCGATGACACTGAGTCTCCCCTGGCGATGTTTTGGGAATTCTGGAACTGATGAGAACAAAACAAAGGAAATCCTTTGAAATATCAACAGCGAACAGTATGTCCATCAAAATCACACTGGTTTCTTTTGACTGTTGTCAACTGTACAGTTTACTACAAATAGAAATGTATGCCTATGACTATCACCTGACTGTGTCCTTATTCAAGTCTGAAGGTGCAAAGTCTCTCTAGACCCCAACCCCCCCCCCCCCCCCCCCCCCCCCCCCCAGAATGGGCCATACCATGTGCTCCAGTATGGCTGTGTTGGAGTAGATGGGTTGTGAGCATCCGCTTCCACTGTGCTGGTGAAAGGGGTCGTCTATGTACATGTTTGAGGTTGGGAACCTTCGTTCCTTCAAACCACTGATGGTAGGGAAAAAAAACTTTAACCAAGTAGCCCTGTATAGGCATTTCAAAACATAGTTCTGGGTCCGTATGCATCAACTGTCTCAGAATAGGAGTGTTGATTTAGGATCAGTTTAGCCTTTTAGATCACAATGAATAAGACTAAATAGACAGGGGGGAGCTGATCCTAGATCAGCACTCTTACTCTGAGAAGCTTGATACATACCACCCGTTTTATAGAGCCAAACCAATGGATCTAGTGATCATCATAAACATGTATTACCTGAGGGCTCCAGCGGGCTTTGAGTCATAGTGATATAGAGAATCAGCCTGACCCTGGCTTACACTCCCGTCCTGTAGGAGCTGCAACCACTGCTCTTTCTCATCTGCACAGCTGGCCTGGACAGAGACATGGACGAACAGAGAAAGAGAGGGGGTGTGAGAGAGAGATAGAGAGAATGAAGAAGACACACAATGCTCTGTTCCAGGAATGAATTGGTCAATTTTGATCTTGCACAGCTCCTTTTTGGGGTTTTTACTTGTTTTTTATTTAATATAAACCTGTGGGAAATAACTGGATCGCTTTTGGTAGTGATTGCATAATAACAAGCTTTCTCTTTTGAGTGTGTAATGTCTTTCCACCATGATCTAAATCAACCACACTGACATAAGTGAATCGGCAGGTAACCTAGCGGGTAAGAGTGTTGGGCCAGTAACCGAAATTGATGTGCCCTTGTGCAAGGCACTTAACCCTAATTGCTCCTGTAAGTTGCTCTGGCTAAGAGCATCTGCTAAATGACTATATAACAAAGTCATAGTGATCCATGAACTATTTCTGACCCCCTTAACAACACCCAAAGCCTTGGCTGAGTAGTATCCATTAATTCTGCATACAGTCTAATCTGTCTATATCTTTGAAAGGGTAACGTTATCCATAGTCACCGATTTTGGGTCAGTTTTGCATTTCCCCAACTAATTGTTAAGGTTAAGATTGGGGGAGGGGAAGCTGATCCTAGATCTGTCTGTACCTAGGGGAAACTTCACCCCCGTAGCCCTTACCTCCAGTACTGCCACCTGGTCTCCGTGTTGGACCACGGTGATGCGGTAGGCCTGAGGTGTGTCGGGGCCCGGTCGAACCTGGCAGCCTTTCAGCTGTACCGTGTACTGAGGGCACTCTTCACAGCCCTCGTCTCGGAACATTTTCAGCACCCCATCCTCTACCTGGCACAGCAGGCTCTGCCACTGGCAGTTCATCAGCACGTTCAGGAACCCTGCAGCCCAAACAGGGATGGGGTCAAAGGTCACAAGAGTCTTGAGATAGATGCGATAGCCTGGTCTGGCACTAACTCCTATGGTCATGACTGTCTTGCCAACTCCTATGGTCAGGAGTTAGCAAGACAGCACAAACACATCTAGAGCAGGCTACCAGACAGAGGCCAGAAAAAGAACACATTGACAACAGAAAGAAACTTGGAACTGTTTGGTGGGCAATTTGTACCTGGTCTCTGAGGTCAAACTCTTACACAAAGATGATGAGAGTATCATACGGTTTGTATACATCTTTGGCCATTATACATTCTCTAGTCATGAAGTTCACACCCAGATCAACAGACATTGAAAATAAGTCACCATGTGTGTGGTGTGACTTCCATCACCTTCTCTATTCACAGTTATCTAATTATACAATCAGGGCTACAAACAAGCTGGGCAGGGCCTATGGCTGTTTCTGAAATGGCACCACATTCCCTATAGAGTGCACTACTTTTGACCAGGGTCCATAGGGTTCTGTTCAAAAGTAGTGCACTATATAGGAAATAGGGTGTCACTTTAGACATAGCCTATATCTAAAACCACCAAATTTGTACCCTCCAAAAACAGCAAAAAAAAGTATGATAATATAATTAAATATAAAAATAAATAAAAACGAATTCGTATCTCTTTCCTAGTCGTTGTGTTGGCCTGGCACGGTTCATGGGGTTTAATAACCTGTTATGGACACCTCCAGACTCCAATGGTGCAAAAGGTGACAATCCAATTCCCCAGGAATCGCCGGTTCACAATGAGCCAGTGTTCCACCAACAACGTGCCTGTTATGACTTAAAGGTAGACCTCTAATAACTACCAAACGAGGTTAACAATCCCACACTGTCTTCACAGCAGTGAAGTGCATTGTGGTCTGAGGCCGGGTAGGCACTTTCAGTGTTTATCCGTATGACACGATCACAAAGACAACCATCAAACAAACAATCACAACCAACCATCAAACAGGAGCAAGTAGGCGGCGCAACCATTAGACACACATTCACAGGCTCTAATAGCTTGGGCCCCACACAACTGCCCTGCACGAACAGGCGACTTTCAGCACCACAGACAGCGACCCAAATGCCAGCGAGTAGGCCTACTTGTAGACAGTGCTACACACACAGAATGCCTAATAGTCAGCGCTACCATAGGCGGCTGAGCAATGGCGCAAACGGAGCCGCTGCATCCCCACTTTCAAAATAAGGGTGCAAACGTATGTTTTTGCACCTTTAAAAACCAGGAAGAGCAGGGCATGTGACAGTAGGCTTAATATTACATGATTCAATCTGTGATTTCTTTTTCTCCCCAAGCTGTTTACAGGCATTTAACTCTGCATTTTTGCCATTTATTTTCCCAACATCAATCGGTTAAATCACATATTTCCATTCACTTACAAAAAGTAATAGTCCTGGCTGAGCCCCATATGCGAGCACAACCGTGGCCGCTTCGTAGTTACAATGTAGCCAAGCTGTGTCTGTATACCTATGCTCAAAATGAAAAAGAACAGGATATTTGTACCTTGATAAAACAGCTCTGCTTGGTAAGTAATATCGTCCAACAAGTTGTAAAAATTTTCTAACAAAAACAAAGTTCATGTCAGAGGCGGGGATGGGCATGAATTTCGACGGACGTCAAAACTCGATCTTTAACCAGAGATCATAAAAAAAGTAATATATAATTTAAAAATATTTGGTGAATTGTGATTAGAAAAAAATTGACATTTTGTCTTGAAGACAATGTAAATTTGCTTTGACTCTAGTGTTCCATAGGCCTCCATGCGCATTTGCCGGACATGAAACCAAGCCAAGCATCACGCAGTTCTTTTCTCTAAATTCCCTTTCCCTTCTGTGTCTCACTCACTCAATTGGATTCTGACTGCGCCCTCTACAAACGCGTCCTTGAGTGCGCACACAAGCTCCCATTAGGCCTACAGAAATACATGTCTATAAAAACGTATCTAACTGATGGGATTCACAACCTACAATCCTTGCCAAATGATGACAGTTTTATCACAAATTCAAAATGTGTTCCAACAACGAGCTGCAGTTTGGGAATAATTGTGTCCCGTCTATTTTCTGCTTAGGCTACTTTGCGAACTGCTAGTGCCATTTAGAATTGGTTAGCCTAGGGCTAGGCTATAACATAGGTAGGTTCCACACTGAAAATATGCAAAAACATTAGTATGATGAACACAAAGCGCATATTTTCATCAGAATCATTAAGCCTAGGCCTACTCACAAAACAGATGTGGTGGCCGTAATTTATCACCATGCAGTGTTCAATGTGGAATTGTCCATTTTAGAACATTCCAAAGAACAGGCAGAATAAACTAAACCGAACGTATGTATATCAAAAAGAAGACATATTTTTAATTGTAACCCTGACATTTTTTAAATTTCAACTCGCCAAATTAAGCCCGGTTTCACATTTTCACTCTTTGAGAATAACTGTTCCAGACGCGAGATGCATATCATTTCGCACTGCCAACTTTTTCCATTGGGAAAAATATTCTGTTCTATTTTATTCTGTTATATTACATTACGTTTTTTACTATAAAATAGGTGTGTCTTGACTGTGATAAAGGCTTGGGAAATAAGAGTGTTGTCTGCTAAATGATCAAAACAAGGCTATGCCATTGCACAGCCATAGGCTTCTACAAGCAAGCACCACTGCTGAGGTTACTGCCTTTTTAAAGATTGTGTTCCACGATATAATATAACCAGTTGATATTACGGTTTCAATAAATCAATCTTAAATGGCACTTGTTTTTCTATTGACTGAATATACACTGAACAAAAATATAAACTCAACATGTAAAGTATTGGTCCCATGTTTCATGAGCGGAAAAAAGATCCCAGAAATGTTCCATATGCACAAAAATATAATTTTTCTCAATTTTTTTTATATCCCTGTTAGTGAACATTTCTCCTTTGCCAAAATAATCCATCCACCTGACAGGTGTGGCATATCAGGAAGCTGATTAAACAGCATGATCATTACACAGGTGTATCTTGTGCTGAGGACAATATGTGCAGTTTTGTCCCACAACACAATGCCACAGATGTCTCAAGTTTTGAGGGAGCATGCAATTGGCATGCTGACTGCAGGAATGTCCACCAGAGTTGCTGCCAGATAATTGAATGTTAATTTCTCTACCATAAGCCGCCTCCAACGTCGTTTTAGATAATTTGGCAGTATGTCCAACCAGCATCACAACCACAGACCACGTGTATGGCGTCGTGTGGGCGAGTGGTTTGCTGATGTCAATGTTGTGAACAGAGTGCCCCATGGTGGCGGTGGGGTTATGGTATGGGCAGGCATAACCTACGAACAACCAACACAATTGCATTTTATCGATGGCAATTTGAATGCACAGAGATACCGTGACGAGATCCTGAGGCCCATTGTCATGCCATGTTTCAGCATTATAATGCACAGCCCCATGTCGCAAGGATCTGTACACAATTCCTGGAAGCTGAAAATGTCCCAGTTCTTCCATGGCCTGCATACTCACCAGACCTCAGCCATTGAGCATGTTTGGGATGCTCTGGATCGACATACAACAGCGTGTTCCAGTTCCTGCCAATATCCAGCAACTTTGCACAGCCATTGAAAAGGAGAGTGACAACATTCCACAGGCCACAATCAACAATCAACAGCCTGATCAACTCTATGCAAAGGAGATGTGTTGCGCTGCATGAGGCAAATGGTGGACACACCAGATACTGACTGGTTTTCTGATCCACACCCCTCCCTTTTAAAAAAAGGTATCTGTGACCAACAGATGCATATCTGTATTCCCAGTCGTGAAATCCATAGATTAGGGCATAATTATTTTATTTCAATTGACTGATTTCCTTACTTAAACTGTAACTTAGTAAAATCTTAGAAATCGTTGCATGTTGCGTTTATATTTTTGTTCAGTATATACGGGGCAATTTAGCAATTAGGATTTGTTATCTGTAATGGTTATGATAAATTAGGCATTGTTGTGCACTGTTGGCCTAGATAAAAGCACACATATCGCTCAAAGAAACTATCAAAGTCTTGTCGCTGCCGTTCCAGTGGTTTCATTGTGTTGCTGATACGGGTACGGCAGACATCCATATCCATCTCTTTGTTCTGCAGAACACGGAAGAGCGCATCAGTTTCATTGAAAATTCCATCATAGGCCATGAGCAAAAAGCGAACACGATGGCAGGTTGCGGTAAATGGGTTGCTAACTGTTATTTATTTTCAGCAAAGGCATGTTATAGTTCCACATAGTTGTCCCTGGGCCTGTTTGATGAGCTGACACTCTCATCATTGCCACGAAGTGGCAACTCCTGTTTACCAAGGTAGCATGTAGCATGAATTAGCTAGGTCTTTCAAAATATCACTGTTCTCTTTTACCTTTGCATTGTGCATGCTGATGTTCAATCAATGCCAGATCTATCCATGAACTGCCAAATGTCTTAAGAGCTATCTGACTTTGGATGCGAGACAGATTTCTCATGCTTGTTGAGTGCTATAGGTAAATTGTTCAAGTCGCAGTAACCGACTCTTGTCCACTCGCTGTTACAGGTGGAGAACAGCAGGCAGTGCGCGTCGCCAGCCCGGCCCGGCCTGTTCCTGCTCCCCGCACCAAGCCTGTGGTGCGCGTCGCCAGCCCGGCCCGGCCTGTTCCTGCCCCTCGCACCAAGCCTATGGTGCGCGTCGCCAGCCCGGCCCGGCCTGTTCCTGCCCCTCGCACCAAGCCAATGGTGCGCGTCGTCAGCCCGGTCCGGCCCGTTCCTGCTCCCCGCACCAAGCCTATGGTGCGTGTCGCCAGCCCGGTCCGGCCCGTTCCTGCTCCCCGCACCAAGCCAATGGTGCGCGTCGTCAGCCCGGTCCGGCCCGTTCCTGCTCCCCGCACCAAGCCTGTGGTGCGCGTCGTCAGTCCGGCACAGCCCGTGCCTGTTTCACCGGTGCCTGGTCAATCCGCTCCAACGGTGTCCAGTCCAGGTCCAGCCAGCAGGACCAGACCAGGGGCGCTACGGGGGGGGGTAGCGAGAGAGTGGTGGTCACGCCCGGAGCCGGATCTGCCTCAGAGGCGGAATGCCCACCCGGTCCCTCCCCTGTTGGTTTTGGTTGGCGCGGTCGCAGTCCGCGCCTTTGGGGGAGGAGGGGGGGGGGGGGGGGGGGGGGGGGGGGGGGGGGGGGGGGGGTACTGTCACGCCCTGGCTCTGGGGACTCTTATATGTTGAGCCAGGGTGTGGATTATCTATGTTGTATTTTCTATGTTATGTTCTAGATCATGTAGATCTATGTTGGCCAGGGTGGTTCCCAATCAGAGGCAGCTGATTCTCGTTGTCTCTGATTGGGAACCATACTTAGGCAGCCTGTTTGGCATAGCTATTTGTGGGATCTTGTTCTGTGTAGGTTTGTGTTGGTGAACCTTAGACTTCACGTATCGTTTTGTTGTTTTGTTGTAGTGTATAAAGTACTCAATTAAAAGATGTACGCCTATCACGCTGCGCCTTGGTCCACTGTTTATGACGATCGTGACAGAAGATCCCACCATAACAGGACCAAGCAGCGTGTCCAGGAGCAGACAGCCTGGACTTGGGAGGAGATCTTGGACGGGCAGGGGTCCTGGACTTGGGAGGAGATCCAGGCCGGTATGGATCGCCGTCCGTGGGAGGAGACGGTGGAGGCGCGCCATAGAGAGGAGCAGCGGCGCCAACCGGGCCGACGTCGGACACGCAAGAGGCAACCCCAATATTTTTTTTTGGGGGGGGGGGCACACAGCATGGACGACGGGGCTGCTGGAGGCAGCTACTGGGCGAGTTTGTGGATTAGGAGAGGAGGCCACCGGGTTTGGGGGGCTGGAAGGGAGGTTGGCGGAGCCTAGAGGTAGAGCAGAGCCAACTCCCCGTACTCAGGCTAGGCAGCGTGAGACTGGGCAGGTTCCGAGGTATGTGGAGCTGCGTACTGTGCCGCGAGTGGTCCGGCACAGTCCGGTACGTCCTGTGCGAGCACCACGCACGTGTCGTGCTAAGGTGGGCATGCAGCCAGGACGGAGTGTGCCGGCTCAACGCTCGTGGCCTCCAGTACCCCTCCTCGGTCCCGGATATCCTGCGCCAGTGTCACGTGCTGTAGTGCCAGTACGAGTACACAGCCCTGTACGTCCTGTGCTGATGCCTCACACAGTGTGTGTAAAAACAGGCATTCAGCCAGGACGGGTTGTGTCAGCTCTTTGCTCCAGACCTACAGTCCGTCTCGCCGGCCCGGCCTGTTCCTGCTCCCCGCACCAAGCCTATGGTGCGCGTCGCCAGCCCGGCCCGGCCTGTTCCTGCTCCCCGCACCAAGCCTGTGGTGCGCGTCGCCAGCCCGGCCCGGCCTGTTCCTGCCCCTCGCACCAAGCCTATGGTGCGCGTCGCCAGCCCGGCCCGGCCTGTTCCTGCCCCTCGCACCAAGCCAATGGTGCGCGTCGCCAGCCCGGCCCGGCCTGTTCCTGCTCCCCGCACCAAGCCTGTGGTGCGCGTCGTCAGCCCGGTCCGGCCCGTTCCTGCTCCCCGCACCAAGCCTATGGTGCGTGTCGCCAGCCCGGTCCGGCCCGTTCCTGCTCCCCGCACCAAGCCAATGGTGCGCGTCGTCAGCCCGGTCCGGCCCGTTCCTGCTCCCCGCACCAAGCCTGTGGTGCGCGTCGTCAGTCCGGCACAGCCCATGCCTGTTTCACCGGTGCCTGGTCAGGTACCGGTCAGCTGCTCCACTGCGGAGCCAGAGCAATCCGCTCCAACGGTGTCCAGTCCAGGTCCGGCCAGCGGGACCAGACCAGGGGCGCTACGGGGGGGGGGGGGTAGCGAGAGAGTGGTGGTCACGCCCGGAGCCGGATCTGCCTCAGAGGCGGAATGCCCACCCGGTCCCTCCCCTGTTGGTTTTGGTTGGCGCGGTCACAGTCCGCGCCTTTGGGGGGGGGGGGGGGGGGGGGGGGGGGGGGGGGTACTGTCACGCCCTGGCTCTGGGGACTCTTATATGTTGAGCCAGGGTGTGGATTATCTATGTTGTATTTTCTATGTTATGTTCTAGATCATGTAGATCTATGTTGGCCAGGGTGGTTCCCAATCAGAGGCAGCTGATTCTCGTTGTCTCTGATTGGGAACCATACTTAGGCAGCCTGTTTGGCATAGCTATTTGTGGGATCTTGTTCTGTGTAGGTTTGTGTTGGTGAACCTTAGACTTCACGTATCGTTTTGTTGTTTTGTTGTAGTGTATAAAGTACTCAATTAAAAGATGTACGCCTATCACGCTGCGCCTTGGTCCACTGTCTATGACGATCGTGACAGATAGAGAAATTAACATTCAATTATCTGCCAACAGTTCTGGTGGACATTCCTGCAGTCAGCATGCCAACCTCACGCTCCCTCAAAACTTGAGACATCTGTGGTATTGTGTTGTGTGATAAAACTGCACACTTTAAAATTGCCTTTTATTGTCCCCAGCACAAGGCGCACCTGTGTAATGATTGTGCTGTTTAATCATCTTCTTGATATACTACACCTGTCAGGTGGATGGATTATCTTGGCAAAGGAGAAATACTCACTAACAGGGATGTAAACAAATTTGTGCACAACATTTGAGAGAAATAAGCTTTTTGTGCGTATAGAACATTTCTGCGATCTTTTATTTCAGCTCATGAAACATGGGACCAACACTTTACATATTGCGTTTATAATTTTGTTCAGTATAGTTCAGAAATCGATTTTATCATGCAGAAAAAACATGATAACAAAATAATGATTGATCAAATGTATATTTACTTACTTTTCATTACAGTTATTTTTTCATTCATTTTCACATTTACACTGACCACATTTCACTGCTTCACGGAGTCCTCAGTGACTCGTTCAGTCACTACGAAACAATTTAAGATGGAGCTATCGATAGCCTTTGAAACAGAGCGGCATTTGTTCATGTTGACAAACGGGGGAATAGGCTTACCTTTATCCTTAATTTCCACACTGCTGAGAGCAGAGGGCAGCGCCGACATTTTCTCTTCATCCGAGTCTGAAGTGTGATTGACTGTGCTTGACTGCGAGAGAAACAACACATGAAAGGGCAGAATTTAGAGAAAATCTGAGCCACCTTATTCAGTCAAACTGAGAGGAAGTTAATTGAATGTTAACGTTAAATAGGGGCAGGAGTAGCTTTAATTCTTATAGCGGCAGATGACTTACCCTGCAAGAGTCCAGTCTGTCACACTTGAGTAACAAGGAGAACCTTTGGGACTCTGGCTCATCATAGGAGGAGCTATTCACCTCCTCAATTACCTAGGGGACCAGCCAGACAACCAGTAAGAATTCAAAACACCTTACACACAACATTTTTTGGTGCAGTTTCCCGAACACAGATTAAGTCTAGTCCTGGGCTAAAAATAATTTTCAATGGAGAATATCGATTGATCTTGCTTTTTAGTCCAGGACTATGCTTAATCTGTGTCCGGGAAACCGCCCCTGAACACCTACACTCATCCAGCCATACCCTATATCTCCCAATCCTAAATACAGCTATAACTGTCCATTTCTCCTATCCTGATAATAACCTGATAATAACCGCCTTTATCTCAGATAGGTTAGGCATGCCTGTTTGGACAATCATGGGCATTACACATCCAAAAAAGGCATTTCCTCTTACCCCTCCCTTTGCTCCCCTTCAGTCAATTGCTGTATCAAACTGTGGGACTATAGTTGCCTTGTCTGAGCCAGAACGGCCCGTAGGGCAGGAGCCTATCTCCTGTTTCTATAGTGTGAGGCAGCTTGATGTACAAGTACACCCCCTGGACAGGACACTAGTCTATCGCAGTCCTGTGTGAGACTATGCTGTAATGACAAACACCTCCAAACCTTCCTCCATTCCTCCGCCTGCTGGCAGCTCTGGAAGCCCATCACCACTGTGTCGGAGCCAGCCACAACCTTGAGCTCGTGCTGCATCTTCTTGTTGTGCTTGGACTTGTACACCACCTGGCAGCCCCGCAGGTTGAGCTCCAGCAGCGGGTAGAGGTCCTTGGCACATTTGTAGCACTGTGATTCAAAATAGGAAAAGGACATCTGAGCTTGTAGCAGGTGCGTGGGAGTAATTCAATTATATCTTAAAAGAAAAGGAAAACCCACACAATGCTCTTGACAGTATCACTTTGTCTAACATTTTACTAATTTAGCAACCATCTTATCCAGAGTGACTTACAGGCGCAATTAGGGCTAGGTGCCTTGCTCAAGGGAACATCGACAGATTTTTCACCTAGTCGGCTCTGGGATTCGACCCAGCAACATTTCGGTTACTGGCCCAACACTCTTAAGCACTAGGCTACCCCCCCTTGTAGCACTAGAAGCAACTTGAAACAGGCAAATAGGATGAACAATGTACGGGCTATTCTGTGAATACGACATAAAACAGAGCCATACAAACCCTTCCTTCCTTTATATAACAGACATGTTTCGAGGTTAATGGCCTTTTTTTTTACGGCTTTAGTAAGCTACATGGACAAAACATGTTCGAAACACATTAGTCGACACCCAGCAGGTGATCGTGCAGTGTGTTTTGTCCTTAGGGATGTGCTTACCAACAGCAGATTGTTGCGGACGAGAAAGAGTTGTTTGGTCCATTGGCCCAGCCATTTCTTCCGCCACAGGTAGCCACAGATGCGTGACTCAGAAGTGGGCCGCAGACAGGGCTGGGAGGCACTCCACTGGATGTAGTGGGCCCGGTCCTTCATAAACTCCTCCTCATCTTCCTCACCATATGACTCGTAGTGACTGCTGTCTGAGTCACATTTGTCTGGAGAAAACACAGACACTCACGCGAGCACACACGTACACACAGGGGATGCATTTCGGTATTAATATTTTTGACAAACCTGTTTCGACACCACTTTTCAGAATGTGGTAAAAAGAGACACGCTGGGTTTTTATGTAGAGTAAAATCCACAGTATACAACTGTGGAAGTTCAAAGGTTTGAGGATGAAATATAGCACATATACATGTATAACACATGAATGGAACTTTCAAATGTAATTCTTTGACTGTAGAAACGGCACAAGGTTACATGTATCCCATTGTGAAAGTAACCCAAGTTGCTGGCAATGGCTGTTGACAGAGAGAGCGAGAGAGAGTGCGAGAGAGAGAGGGATAGAGAGAACGCGAGAGAGAGAGACTGCTGTATCTAATGACTTGTTGAGCATACCTGCTGAGTGATTGACTGGAACAAAAGGCTCAGCCTCCTCGTAGCAGTCCTCATCTAAACCTTCTGGAGGGTGGGGGGGTACTGCCGGCCCCTGGCTCTGAGGTAGGAACATAAGAAGTGGTCATGACAGGGAGCCTTCAAGAGTCACAGGACCGTAGTAGGGCAGTGAGACATGACCTGATCTATGGCTACGTCCCAAATGGCACCATATTCCCTATATAGTGCACCACTTTTGACCAGGGTCCATGGTCAAAAGTATTGCACAATGTATGGAATAGGGTGCCATTTGAGACACAGACCAGATCTATCTGTGCTTCAAAGCCTTCGCATTAGGGCTGTCCCCGACAAAAAAAATCTTGGTCGACCGAGAGTCGTCTGTTCTTTCGAATTTTAAAACGTGTATTTTTCTATGTTTGAATAAAATCAACTATATGTAGGCTACTTTGCCTGATGCTTTAAGCACTGCAGTTAAAAATCAAGACACACAAATTACTAAAGAGGGAGCCAGAGATCAATATATCCTAACCAGAAGAAAGAAATCTGTTCCCGATCCGACCCTCCTCCTCCCACTGCCTGCTGCTGCTGGCCTTCGCAGATTCTTCTGTTAAGCTCCTGAAGTTGCCGGTAATAGGCTACACCAGCAGTCGGCAACCTTTTCCATTTGGAGTCCCAAGTTATGGTACCATTTCGCATGCCAGTTATGATTTTCATATGCACATTTTCATGGAACAGTTTAATTTAATTTATAATAAAGTCTTCATATCTCAAAATCAATGTCATGTGGTTAATCAAAATGATATCTAAATGAAAATGATACAAATCTAAAAGTAACTTATATTGCCATTGCCAATATATAAAAAGAGCCTACATAAAGCCAACAAATAAAAACATTGCAGCCAGCAGGTAGAACATATCCTGATAAAAATAGATATCCTATAAATTACAGTGGGGAAAAAAAGTATTTAGTCAGCCACCAATTGTGCAAGTTCTCCCACTTAAAAAGATGAGAGAGACCTGTAATTTTCATCATAGGTACACGTCAACTATGACAGACAAAATGAGAAAATTTTTTCCAGAAAATCACATTGTAGGATTTTTAATGAATTTATTTGCAAATTATGGTGGAAAATAAGTATTTGGTCAATAACAAAAGTTTCTCAATACTTTGTTATATACCCTTTGTTGGCAATGACACAGGTCAAACGTTTTCTGTAAGTCTTCACAAGGTTTTCACACACTGTTGCTGGTATTTTGGCCCATTCCTCCATGCAGATCTCCTCTAGAGCAGTGATGTTTTGGGGCTGTCGCTGGGCAACACAGACTTTCAACTCCCTCCAAAGATTTTCTATGGGGTTGAGATCTGGAGACTGGCTAGCCCACTCCAGGACCTTGAAATGCTTCTTACGAAGCCACTCCTTCGTTGCCCGGGCGGTGTGTTTGGGATCATTGTCATGCTGAAAGACCCAGCCACGTTTCATCTTCAATGCCCTTGCTGATGGAAGGAGGTTTTCACTCAAAATCTCACGATACATGGCCCCATTCATTCTTTCCTTTACACTGATCAGTCGTCCTGGTCCCTTTGCAGAAAAACAGCCCCAAAGCATTATGTTTCCACCCCCATGCTTCACAGTAGGTATGGTGTTCTTTGGATGCAACTCAGCATTCTTTGTCCTCCAAACACGACGAGTTGAGTTTTTACCAAAAAGTTATATTTTGGTTTCATCTGACCATATGACATTCTCCCAATCCTCTTCTGGATCATCCAAATACACTCTAGCAAACTTCATACGGGCCTAGACATGTACTGGCTTAAGCAGGGGGACACGTCTGGCACTGCAGGATTTGAGTCCCTGGCGGCGTAGTGTGTTACTGATGGTAGGCTTTGTTACTTTGGTCCCAGCTCTCTGCAGGTCATTCACTAGGTCCCCCCGTGTGGTTCTGGGATTTTTGCTCACCGTTCTTGTGATCATTTTGACCCCACGGGGTGAGTTCTTGCGTGGAGCCCCAGATCGAGGGAGATTATCAGTGGTCTTGTATGTCTTCCATTTCCTAATAATTGCTCCCACAGTTGATTTCTTCAAACCAAGCTGCTTACCTATTGCAGATTCAGTCTTCCCAGCCTGGTGCAGGTCTACAATTTTGTTTCTGGTGTCCTTTGACAGCTCTTTGGTCTTGGCCATAGTGGAGTTTGGAGTGTGACTGTTTGAGGTTGTGGACAGGTGTCTTTTATACTGATAACAAGTTCAAACAGGTGCCATTAATACAGGTAACGAGTGGAGAACAGAGGAGCCTCTTAAAGAAGAAGTTACAGGTCTGTGAGAGCCAGAAATCTTGCTTGTTTGTAGGTGACCAAATACTTATTTTCCACCATAATTTGCAAATAAATTCATAAAAAATCCTACAATGTGATTTTCTGGATTTTTTTTCCTCAATTTGTCTGTCATAGTTGACGTGTACCTATGATGAAAATTACAGGCCTCTCTCATCTTTTTAAGTGGGAGAACTTGCACAATAGGTGGCTGAATAAATACTTTTTTTCCCCACTGTACATTTGCTATGCATGGCCTGTCTGCAAGGAACTTGCAACATTGTATCAACTATTAACTTGGGTCTGGCCTGCTAGCAAACTTGCAACATTGTATAATATATTCTGAGCCTTCAGTTCCTGTGCCAGTGAGCTCCGGACAGACACAGCTGTAGGCTATTTGCGCAAGGATAAGAAGTAATCAGGTAGGCCTTTTTTATGACATTTCCTAAGGATCAGAGCATGACATTTTTTCCCCTTTCATGATGAGTGGTTATCGAAAGGGAGAGCTGGATTTTTTTTTCAAATAGGCTACGTTGAGGAACTAATGTCATTCTCAATTGATGTAAAAACAGACTTTGAGAGAAGCTAAGTTAAGACAATCAGAAATAGGTTCATTTTCCTGGCATGGTTTAGGTCCACAACCCCTTACAGCCCGTGTAGACTCTACAGCGATAACTCGCCGCGTGCCGCTTCGGCCACCCAGGGTGGTTCGCTTGTGGGATGCTGGCAGCATATAGCAGAATGTTCGGTTGTGCATCGAGAATTGAGTATAGCAAGTTTGTATGAAGGTATGGTTATCAAAATGGGTAAATACACTGAACAAAAATATAAATGCAACATGTAAAGTGTGGGTCCCATGTTTCATGACCTGAAATAAAATAGCATTTCTCCTTTGCCAAGATAATCCATCCACCTGACAGGTGTGGCATATCAAGATGCTGATTAAAGAGCATGATCATTACAAAGGTACACCTTGTGCTGGGGACAATGACAGGCTACTCTAAAATGTGCAGTTTTGTCACGCAACACAACGCCAGAGATCTCTCAAGTTTTGAAGAACCGTGCAATTGGCATGTTGACTGCAGGAATGTCCACCAGAGCTTTTGCCAGAGGATTGAATGTTGATTTCTCTACCATAAGAGTCAAGTGGGCGAGCGGTTTGCTGACTTCAACGTTGCAAAGAAAAAGCCATATCTCAGACTGGCCAATCAAAATAAAAGATTAAGATGGGCAGTCTGAGATATGGCTTTTTCTTTGCAACTCTGCCTAGAAGGTCAGCATCCCGGAGTCGCCTCTTCACTGTTGACGTCGAGACTGGTGTTTACTATTTAATTAAGCTGCCAGTTGAGGACCTGTGAGGCGTCTGTTTCTCAAACTAGACACTGTGTATTTGTCCTCTTGCTCAGTTGTGCACTGGGGTCCCCCACTCCTCTTTCTATTCTGGTTAGAGCCAGTTTGCGCTGTTCTGTGAAGGGAGTAGTACAGCATTGTACGCATGGAATAGCTTTCATTTCTCAGAACAAGAATAGACTGACGAGTTTCAGAGGAAAGTTCTTTGTTTCTGGCCATTTTGAGCCTGTAATCGAACCCACAATTGCTGATGTTCCAGATACTCTAACTAGTCTCAAGAAGGCCAGTTTTATTGCTTCTTTAATCAGCACAACAGTTTTCAGCTGTGCTAACATAATTGCAAAAGGGTTTTCTAATGATCAATTAGCCTTTCAAAATGATACATTTGGATTAGCAAACACAACGTGCCATTGGCACACAGGACTGATGGTTGCTGATAATGGGCCTTTGTACGCCTATGCAGATATTCCATAAAAAATCAGCAGTTTCCAGTTACAATAGCCATTTACAACATTAACAATGTCTACACTGTATTTCGGATCAATTTGATGTTCTTTTAATGGACCAAAAATTGCTTTTCTTTCGAAAACAAGGAAATGTCTAAGTGACCCCAAACTTTTGAACGGTAGTGTATATAATGAGTGAGACAATAGCCTCTATGAATAGATCAGAACAATAACAAATAGCATTGTAGCGCAAAATGTTTCATAGCCTACATTGAAAACATTCTTTATGGGCATTACAGTGCATTCGGAAAGTATTCAGACCCCTTGACTTTTTCAACATCAAGTTACATCCTTATTCTAAAATGGATTTAATCAAAACATGTCCTCATCAATTTACACACAATACCCCATAATGACAAAGCGAAAACAGGTTTTTGAATTTTTAGCAAATGTATTGAAAATACTAGGCACCGGTGGAACGGACTGCTCTGGCTCCAGAGTGGAGCAGCTGACCGTTGCTGGACCAGGCACTGGTGGAACAGGCCGGGCCGGACTGGAAACATGCACCACTGGTCTGGTGCGAGGAGCAGGAACGGGTTGGGCCGGACTGGGGACACGCACCACAGGTCTGGTGCGCGGAGCAGGAACGGGCCGGGCCGGACTGGGAACACGCACCACAGGTCTGGTGCGCGGAGCAGGAACGGGCCGGGCTGGACTGGGAACACGCACCACTGGCTTGGTGCGGGGAGCAGGTACGCGCCGTACTGGACTGGATACACGCACCACTGGTTTGGTGCGAGGAGCTGGCACAGGCCGTACCGGACTGGATACACGCACCACTGGTTTGGTGCGGGGAGCAGGTACGGGGCGTACCGGGCTGGCGACAGGCACCACTGGTTTGGTGCGAGGAGCTGGCACGGGCCATACCGGACTGGATACACGCACCACTGGTTTGGTGCGGGGAGCAGGTACGGGGCGTACCGGGCTGGCTACAGGCACCACTGGTTTGGTGCGAGGAGCTGGCACGGGCCGTACCGGACTGGATACGCGCACCACTGGTTTGGTGCAGGGAGCAGGTACGGGCCG